CGACTTTTTGTGACGTTGAAATGAATTGGTTTGTGCAGCATGTCTTTCCGCGAAAATTTCCTCTTCCATCGTACCCAAACAAATATGAAAAATTTCCAAAAACTTTTCACTACCGTTCTTTTCACCTTTTGGACTCTCCATAGTACTGAGCAGGTTTTTACATTCCTTGTCGAAGAAGTCTACACTACTATACCTAATTATCAAAAATGTCTGACGTTGAACAAGTTGAGCAAGTCGAAGTTGTCGTTGAGGAGTCTGGTTCCATCACCGTTGAGGATGCCGTTAAGGTTGTCTTGAGAAACGCTTTGGTCCGTGACGGTTTGGCCAGAGGTTTGAGAGAGTCCTCCAAGGCTTTGTCCCGTGGTGAAGCTGAGTTGTGTGTCTTGTGTGACTCTGTCACCGAGGCTTCCATCGTCACTTTGATCGAGGCTTTGTGTAACGAGCCAGAGGTCAAGATCCCATTGATCAAGGTTGCTGACGCCAAGTTGTTGGGTGAGTGGGCCGGTTTGGGTAAGATCGACCGTGAGGGTAACGCCAGAAAGGTTGTTGGTGCCTCTGTTGTTGTCGTCAAGAACTGGGGTGGTGAGTACGAGGAGAAGAACATCTTGCTCGAGCACTTCTCCAACTAAGGGAATTTTTTTTTTGGTACGTTAATCATCATAATTAGTTTTATTAGCATTTTCAACCGTCACGTAGTCTATAAAAACACCGGTACATCGATTGCAACGCCGTCATCGTCGTCATCTTGCTCCAGTTCCTCAAAGTGCTCGCCTTGGTTGTGCACTTGGACAATGTGTTGTGGTCCTGATTGGTTGTGGCTATGATCCTTCATGTAATCCTCTATGGTGCCTAGCCAATCACTCATTTGTTGTAGGAGTTTGAACTCAAACACTGTTCCATAGTAGTCCTTTGGTATATCATTACCATACGTGCTCAACATGTTTATGCTTAGCAAAGACTCATCTCTTTTGAACTTACATTTAGAGCTCAACTTCATGGCCCTCGTTACGAGACAGAACAGGATACCGTTATAGCAGCTAACATCAACTTTCTCACTCGACTTTATGTGTAGTTTTTCCAAGATTGACCTATCGTTTGGTAAGTTGAACGTTGATATTCCCATTTCACTCTTAGCAACGATTGCCAGTACGTTTTCTTTGACATTGTTAGTCTTATCTCGCGTTGATGCGTAGATGAATATCTCCTCCGTGTTGATGTCCTTCAAATCCTTCAGCGCATCGTAGAGTACATCAGCCTTGATGATTCCTTCCAGCAGGATCTCCTCTTGGTTCAGGTCGAACCCATAGTTATCAGGATCAAGGTCCAAGTTTACATACGTTGCAAATTCACACCGTTCTGTAATCTTGGAATCTTCAAACACCAGAACAAATGGGTGTCCATATCCTTGATAGATCATTGTACAATGAGTCGTCGACACCTGTGTCCTGTTAACCAGTGACAGAGACTCCACGACAGACCTGAGGTCCATGCTGAACTTGGCGTCAATTGGCTCAGCATCATCATCTTCATCATCTGAATCACAACCGTAATCAGTATCGTCCGAATCCTCATCACACTTCTCCCTCGTTCTACGTGGTTTCCGCAAGGGGCTGCTATACGTGTATGTAGTGAACAGCCCCTTCTCCAGCGTCAATTCTCCTATGGCATACAGTCAGCACACGAACTTCTGCGTCCAATGTTGGTGTAACTCACCTCTGCAGACGTGGTTCTTCTCCGTGATGAAGTTGAGCCCATCCTCTGCAATGCTGACGACGACTCTGGTATTAATCACCGTCAGCGCACTCAGCATCGAAGCCATGTGCACCAGCGACGTCGTTGTGGCACTCAGAACACACATTCCAGCGTTACTATCCATTGTTGGTCTAATTCTCAACACAGGCTGCCTCTCTCTGGCTGGAGAAGAGCTTTCCCTGCCCGGGGAAACGAGCAGTGATGGGCCGGGCGGACATAACCAAAAATTGCTCTCTTTCCTCCCCAACAACGCCTACACAGGGACTCACTGAACATTGAATCAAATGCTTGATAGAAGACAACGGAGAAACGCCTCCATCATCGGTGCTTTGGTGGTCCTTGGAGCAGGTGCGTACGCTCTGTACAGCTACTTAACCAGTGAAGGAGACGGAGATGTGGAGGTTGTGAATGACAATGACAGCAGAAGGAAGTATACGCAGAGGCCAATCACGATAATACTCACGGAATCGATACTGTCGTCCAACCTACCGCTGAATGAGATCTTGAAGAAGACCTCCGATGTCGTGCTCGTGGTTCCCCCGGACTTATCAGTGGACGAGGATCTACAGGATGAGTTTGAGCCGGACGTGGAGTATAAAGTGATTGAATGTGAGACGTACGAGGGAGTGTGGTCTGTTGTTAAGCACCTGAACGGAGAGATCATCTTTGTTGTTAAGGACGACCTGCCGAGTGAACTGCCAGACGGACTAGAGAGATACGTTGGCGAGATTGTGGAGCTTGACCAGAACTCTTCAGAGATTAACGAATCCATACTGTCGTGCATTGTCAACGAGTAAGCCGTCCTACTGTGTTATGTTTCTATGCTTTCCGAACACAACGCCCTCTGAGGTTTGTGAGGCACCTTTCATGTAACCGTACTCCAGTGAGCTCCATGCCGGGCCTTTGGAGAGATGAGAAGGTTTCTTCGGGACCTTTGGAGGTGGCTGTCTTGTGCTCAACTTTGGGCCAATCACAGGGATTGATGGTGACTTCTCGTGCACATATCTGGATAGCGAAACTATGGTTTGTAATACACTTGCAATATCGCCTTCCTCGTACAGGTCCACTGTCTGGAACGTCTCGTCCTCTGGTATGCCGTACGACTTCACAAACGTGAGGAAATTGGCAATGTTCTCCATTTGAACAAAGGGCATCTTACTGTCTTTGAACTTGACTGCGCCACCGAGGGCATTGGCTAATCTATCCAATAGTTAAGAGTTAGTCATGTATATGTGTAATGGTTTTCCTAGACGGCTTCCTTGTCACGTGTAAGCATACTTCCCTAAGACAACTCCTGTCTTCAACACCTGAATGAGGTCCTGCTGTGGCTCACTCTCTCCGATAATGTTGAATATCCAGCCTCTTGCTTCGTCTGCTAGTTTACTGTTGTATTTGCTTCTTCTTAAATCTCTCAAGTCGGCATCCAGGGATGAAACATCTGCCTTCTTTGCATACGGATCCTCCTCCATCTTGAACTGCTGTGATTGATCGAATAATGGAACCGTTGTAGTAGTTGTTCCCTTGTAATTTGCCTAAAATTAGCGTACATTTGGTGCATTCGCCACATATTTCCTGATACGGTATTTCCTCAATGTGGCTAGTGCACACTAGCCACATCCAATCTCAAAGGGGAAATTTGTAAACAACACACTACAAGCTTTCTCTACGTTTTGACGCCTTTTTCTCAATATCATCCCTTTTCCGCATTGAAAGGTGTGAGCAAAGTGTGCTGCTGTTGCTTGTTGTTGAGCTGCTGCCTGCTGTTGTGCTGGTGGATTGACAATGGAGTTCTTCAAATCACTCTGGCCCAATACGTCAACAAACATCGTCACCATTCCACAACATGTCGAAGGCGAATACGAAGACGATTTGGATTTGAAGGTTAGAGCGTTGGCTTATCTCTTTAAGAGGCTGGGCATCGAGGACTTGCCACCTTTCATAAACGATGAGAATGGGATGTTCAACCTGACGGGTCCCATTGACTGTGCAAATGAGAAGCTGGACGCCATCTACAACAAATCGGAGTTCGAGAGACTGTTGAAGTCAGATGAGCACAGAATCTTGGTTGATTGGTTCAAGAATAGGTTCAGGTCGCTGTGTATACTCTCAGGTGAGCCATGCTCTGAGTTTGAGCACGATCTGGGAAGGAACTTTAGATTTGTGGTGTTGGCCAGTGACTCCTCAGAGAAGGTTTATATCGACACCTTGGCCAACTCTGATATCTATATGGAGCACAGTGTCGATATGAAGTTGAAAGAGAGTATTCTCCGGGATGTCTTACAAAGACAATTAGAACTGAGACCCTCTGTCAGAAGCAGCTTCAACAAGAACGATAGGGCCAATATAATCTTACAGTACGTCCGTAAGTTGAGTGAAGCCGTACAGATTGAGAGAATCTATAGAGCATCTCTAATGAGTAAGCTGAAGACATTGAGAGCCTCAAAGCTGGGAGATCTGAAAGAGGTTGTTGAGGAGCCCACTGTTGATCATACGGATGATAACAGTGAAAATCAAGGCATATGTCTTTTCCCTTCAAGTGCCTTACGCTCCAGTCGATCCAGGTCGCCCGTGAGAAGAAACTCCTGTGAGTCCAAGCCTCTGGTGAAGCCTCTGTCACCCGTAAAGCTGAATCCAGACTTAAGCTGGAGCTCTTCTTCACCTTTAGCTTCCCCTGTGAAATCCATTGGTTCACCAAATACAACACAAACATCTATGAGATCACGTTCGTCCTCTCCAATCAAAAGCCTCAAGAAGAAGCAATCCATGACGCTTTTAAAGATGGACAGGTCGTTAAACGATAGCTCATTCTCTCTGGAGCAGGACGCAACGTCAAAGATTGATACAGCACTGTTGAAATCACAGGCAGAGCAGGCAGTCTTGGTAAGAGTGGAAAGGGAGTTGAAACTTGTTAGGGTATTGTAAACTGAGACAGACTACACAACATATAATTTATTCATATTCATATTTAGAGTACAGATTCTTACACGTTCGTTCATTTCACTACACTAGGCCATGACTACAAGCAGTATACTCGTTCTACAGTGTACTCATAGAGGAAACAAGAGATATATTATGTACATGAAGGTGGTGGCAAGTAGAACCTTACACTTTGTGTCTAACAGATGGGTCCACGTGCAATGGCGACCAGACACCTCTAACTGAGTCGTTGATACTCTCAACCTTGGCGTTTCTCTTTCTAATACGCTCACCAGAAGACTCTCTCAACAGATTCAACTTATTCTGCACGTTATCAACGTTCAAGTTGCGCACACATATCGCCTTGTCCAAGCCGTTGCTATATTCACCTTTAAGAACTGGGTGTCCACCTTTCTGGACAACCTTGAATTCGATCTTTGGGTTCTGTTTGGCATAGTTGTCCAATCTTAGCCTGAGGAAATCTCTGAGTCCCTGCGACGAGCCGCCAGCCTGGTCAAACTGCAGAGTGATACGCTTGCAGGAGAGCACAAACGCACCAACACCGTTTTGCAGCACTGCAAGCTTCGGAACAGGTTTGATAGGCATTGTTGTCGTCCTTCCTTGTCTTCTTCAGAGCTGAGAGCTGTGTTGACGATGTTGTCTTTCCTTCGGAAAAAATTAAACCCGGGCGTTTTTGCGTCTTCAAGGAGCGGTGTGCCCCTACCATACCTGGGGCTCGGTTTCTCGAGAAACCACCAGAACGAAGAATCAACACTAATGATGGCAACGGTCAACATCAACAGTTTCACGTTGAAATGAGCTCTAAGAGGTTATCTATTGGCCTGCGTCACTTCTCTGCGTCTTCTAGGGCCTACAAGGAATCCATCATCTCGTCGTTGAACGTCCTTGCCGATGCAGCAACGCCGTTGAACAACATCGATACCGTGAAGAGGGACAGAATAGCATTCACGTCAGGGTATGAGGTTAAGGACAAGGTGGCATTCCTCGTAGCCAATCAGGTGCTCCAGTTTGATCCCAAGTATGAGATCAAGAATGGGTTTCTAGTGGAATTTGAGCCAGCCTCACTGGAATTTCTCAAGCTGATAAACCCACAGCCTGACTTGATCACCATTGGGCTGGGCTCAAAGAGTAGGCTGCTGAGCCAGGTAAACGTCGAACTGTTCCAACAGCTGGGTGTCCGTGTAGAGGTCTCTGATACTAAGAACGCAGCAAAGAACTTTGACCTCTTAGCCACTGAAAGACCGAATCAAGTGGGAGCAATATTGCTCCCACCGAATGTCTAGCCAACCGCGTTCCGTTATTTATCTAACCATCTATTTATTAATGTATTATCATACAACGTTGTTTCTTCTATTGTACACACGCACGAATATATACGAAGACGTATATATGGATCAACAATCACCAGTCGTCATCATCATCATCTTGTTCCTCTTCATCGCTATCAAGTCCCATTCTGCCAGCACGAGCCTTGAGGGCTTCAGCTAAACCCCCAGCTAAGCTACTCTCCTCCTGTTTCTTAGCCATCAACGCCGCAGCTAAACCTCCAGCTAGGCCTCCAGTAGTGGCGGCAGTGGTGGCGTTATCAACTGTACCATTGGATACACCATTGGAGATTGGGCTCTGTTGTTGAGCCACTGGTTGGGCCTGGGCTTGTTGTTGCTGGATAGGTGGTGCTGGTGGTGCTGGTGGGGCAGCTTTAGCACCAGTACTTGGAGGTGCACATTCAACGACATAAGCACCTGGGACCCATCCTTCTTTGGAGCCATCAAGCAGTTTAGCTAGCCACCATCCGTTGTTCTCCTTTTTCAAAATATAAACAACTTGGTCCTTGGAGATTGGTAATTCACTAGCACTACCTGTCCCAACAAAGTCATAGGCGGCTTTATACGTTGGGAATTCAGGCTTATCAACCGCAGCTGGTGGTGGTGGAGGTGCCGGTGGAGCTTGTCTACTCTGTTGAACAGCAGCTGCTGGTTGTTGAACCTGTGGTTGTGGCTTTGGTGGTTGTGGAACGGCTTTCTTCTGCGGTCTTGATGGTGGAGCCTTTCTAGACTGTGGAGCTGCTGGTTGACCACCAGGGTGATAAGCACTCGAAGCAGCAGCGATCGCAGTTGACGCAGCAGATGCTTGTGTGTGAGCCGGCTGTGGTGTTGGCTGTTGTTGTCTCATAACAGGAGCTGGTGGTGGTGCCTTTCTAGCAGTTGGCAATGTAGTGGTGGCTGCCGCAGGTCTGGAAACTGCTGGTGTTGCTGCAGGTTTATAAGTACTTCTTGGTGTGTAACTTGAACTTCCGATAGACGACTTATTCTTTGGTCTAGGATGTGAGGTAGAAGATGCTGGTGCACCAGCACGGACACTAATAGTACCAGATTTGTACAGATCACCATGAAGAGGTGCATTGGGGTTAACCGCAGTCTTGACAATGTGATATTTGCCCGGTTTTTTCTGGTATTTGATTGTAGAATCAATCTGAATCGAAATGGCACTGTTCAACTTCTTCAGCTGAGTAACCAATTCTGTCTTTGACCAGAGACAAATAAATGGATCAACAGCTTGAGTCTTTTGGGAAATTGCAACCCAATCGTCCTGTAGGTTCGATAATCCAAGGTAATTGATGTTGTTGATTGGAACACTCATCTCCATAGTGTATGTGGCCTTTCTATCAACAACCTGATGGGCAACTATGTAAACAGTGGAACTGGTAACAAACACATGTCTTGGAAGCCTTTGGGCGGATCTTCCGAATTTGGAATGTAACACTTCACAACCACTTGAAAAAATGACCTTGTCTTTAATTCCAACTTGGTTTTTAATGAAGGCTCCCTTCGATTTACGTTCATTGGCATTCAAATAATCACCAGTGAATTGTCTGTAACCCAAAAGGGAGAATTTACGACGTTGCTTTCTTGAGCCCAGAAGCCTTGTACCATAGTCACGGAATTTCTCGTAGTCATTGCCGCCAGTTCTTTCTCTCCAGATTCTCTGGATTATAATTGCAGCATCTACTTTTTTCTTCATGTATCTTCTAATGGCTCTCTGGATTATAGCAGCCATGTTATGCCAATATCTATCTCTTAGACTTTCCAATCCAAACAACGTCTCTGGTGTCTTAATGAATACCTTTGTTGTACCCATTTGATACTCCGTTGCTGGAATGGCAGAATCTTGCAAGATGTGGAGCACTGCATCTTTAATGTCACCAGACCATGTGAACTCACCGGCATAAGAACACTTTCGAGACAACAAATAAAATCTCTCCACAAACTTCTCAAAAGTTTGACGATATGCAAAACCTGCTCTTCTGATTCTAACGTTTTCTTTCAATCCAAGATATTTGATCTGGTGCAAAACTTGTCTGTCGTCAAACTCCGAGGCCGATCTATGTTCATTTGGTTTGATAGTTCTGATGTAGGAAGGTTTTGACAGGGAAAGAGTTTCAACCAACTCATTGGCAGATTTGATAATCTTATCACTTGCAGTTGGAGGTCTTCTTCTTGATCCATGGTCAACTGGTTTGGGGAACAGTGTATGAATAAAGGAGTTTTGGGAAGTTGCTAACATCTCCATGAGGTCCTTTTGCAATTGATCCTTGTTTTTATCGGTCATATGCTGGATATCATAGGTGACATCACCAGCATAATGCTTGATGACGAATTTTGCCTGTCTCAATTCAAAATGTTGATTTGAGGTCATCAAGTTCAAACGTTGGGCAAAGGAAGCATCACTTTCGTCACTCTTAGCGTGGGCAGTAGCACAGGCATCGTTAAGTGCAGCCATAACACCAGGAGGTCTCTTTGCCTCGATCAGATCAACAACAATTTTATTGTTGAAGAATTGAATTGGAGTCCATTGAATCTGTTCACGAACATACTCATCCTGTTCCGATTTTAAAGTCAATTGGATAAAGATCTGTTGTAATTTCTCATTGACATAGTTAATACACAACTGTTCAAAGGAATTGTGCTCAAAGATTTCAAACCCATAGATATCCAAAATACCAATGGATTTGTACTTGTTACCTTTATCCAACACCTTGTTCAAGATCACAATAATATGGTCAAACAACACCGAATACATCGCTGCTGCAAGTGCATGCTTGACAGCAGTGGCTTGTGTAGGGTTCAATGGAATATCATAAGTTTCATTCATCGTAGTCATAACCCTTGTGATCAATGAATTGATCAAGGTTTGTTCATCCACAGAGATAAGATAAGCGACGAACTTTGTCACTGATGAATCTCTAACTGTTGAGTTACCCTGTTCGTCTTCGACAAAGGTGATGTTACCGATCCACAAGATCGCAGCCAAGATTCTAAAGATCTGATCCTGTTGCTCTTGATCGATTCCAATGATCTGCATAGCCTTCAAGGTCTCTTGGAAATCTTTGGCATCATCGATACCTTCAACAGAAGTTGTACCGCTTGTGTACAAGTACTGTTCTGGCCCTTGGACACCAAAGGTTTGTCTGTAACTTTCAGGTGCCGCTTTAGTGAATTGGTAAAAGATGTGGAAATTTCTCTCACCCTTGTTCTGTCCGACAACCCTTTGCTTCTCCAACAAATAATTTGTAATCTTACCACTGACGGGTTCGTATTGTTCGCTGAAGTTGATCTCTAAGTACTTACCGTGTCTCGAACTGTTGTTGTTTCTCAAAGTCTTTGCACACCCGAACGACTCCAACAAGGGGTTGGTTGCCAGAACAATGTCTCTGATCTCAGTGATGGATTTGCTCGAGACCGACGTTGCTGTGGCAGCAGCAATGTATTGCATAATTCTCTTAGCAGCCTCCGTCTTACCGGCACCAGACTCACCAGAGATAATGACACACTGCGATTCGTTATAAGCCTTCATGTTGTAAACCATGGATTCCGCCACAGCAAACACATGCGGTGGAACCTCTAGTCTATTCTTTCCCTCGTAGGACTTCAGCACATCCTCCGTGTAGATCCCCAAGTCACGGAACGGGTTCACGGAGATCAGCACATGGCCGATATACGTGTAGATGGTCCCGTTCTCAAACCTCTTCTTCAGGTTCTCGTTGATCGCCTCGTCCGTGATCTTCGTCAACAACGTCAAATCAGAAACACCAACCTCACGCTTCTTGTGCGCCTCAAACGTAGCCTTCTGGATACCATTGTTCCTCTTTGGAGGCTGTTGTTTGCCCTTACCAGGTCTCCTTGTAATAGCCATCCTCTCTCTTCACAGTTTGCCCACTTTATCTCTCTTACCGCCCTGTACAATGTCAAAGGTTGAAGTAGCCGCCAATCAGAGTAAGAAGGGAAAACAAACAATTTGATCCTTTTTGGGGGGGCAGGTATGGGTTTTTGCCCTTTTCGCACAAAACTGCGGGCGGTGATTCCGGGTTTCTCGTTTAGTGGCCATAACGGGGCTCTGTACACAAAGCCGACAATCCAGCGCGGCGCGGCAAAGGGCGAAGAGGCCTGTCTGCCCTCTGTCGGCGGTGGTGGGAGCGTTGAGCGGTTTGGGTGCTCTTCAGCATTTTGAACTAAAATACCGACGTCCCGAGATTGTTGATCTGTTCCTAGCTTTTTGCCTCTAAAAGTGCTCATCTGATACGATGGAATCTACAACACGTTCAATTGTAATGGAACGATGAGATTAGGGATGATATATATAAAGACACCAAGGTGCAGTATACGAATTATCTTCATCTGGTGCGAATGACACCAGCAGCAATGAGGATGTTGATCTTTCTAGCAACTTCTGGGTTCTTCATGTGTTCTTGCAAAGCCTGAGGGTTACCTCTGGCCTGTTCCAAGATGGAGTTCATAACCGGATCTTGTAAGATGGCTGCAACTTCAGGGTCTTTAGAAACACGTTCCATGGTCTGTTCTGGGGTTTCGTTAGGATCGGCTTGGAATCTTTGGGAAATGGCTTTATGGTACAGTTGATCGATTTCTCTGGAGCTCGAGCCGTTGTTGACTTCAAGGTCCTTGCTTCTTGCCAAATCCAAGGTCTCGACGGCCTTTGTGAACTCCTTGACGGCAATCTCAGCGTTGGCCTTACGGATGTAGGCTCTGATGAAGTTTGGATCCTTCTTGATTGCCAATTCACAATCTTTGATGGCATCTGGGAACGACATCAACTTGGCCAATGCAGCAGCTCTGTTGGAATAGCCTCTGGCATCCTCTGGGGCACGCTTGATCATCTCAGTGTACGCCTTCACGGCATTTGGCCAGTCGCCCTTGGTGAAATACTCCTTACCCAATTCTCTGGCTTCCTCGGCTTTCTCAGGATTGACATAGCTCTCAGCTTCTAAGTCTTTCAGCAACTTTTGGGTGTTTCTCAATTTGGTCAAGACATCTGGTGTTCTGTGCTCCGTTAATGATTTCTCGAATGCGTGAATAGCAGCCTCATATTTCTGTTGCTTTACATAAGTGGTACCGATTCTTGCCAGTGCCTTGGCAATCACTTTGTAATCAGCTCTTAGAGAACGACCTTGTTCGACAGCTTCGTTACAGGTATCAATCGTCTTTTCGTAGTCACCCTTTTCAAACTCTGCGGCGGCTCTGTTGTTCAAGTATGTGACATCCTTATACAAATCCCAAGCCTTGTTGTACGCCTCAATGGCTTCGTCAAACTTTCTTTGCTTGTAGAGCTTGTTACCTTCAAGTTTAGCCTCATCAGCAGCTTGTTTCTTTGAAGCGTCCTCTTTAGATTCCTCTTCTTCATCCACCTGAACATCACCATCCTTATCGGTCTTTGGCTCTGGTTCAGAGCCAGATTTTGGCTCGGAACTTGTGGTAGTTGGAGTTGGATTGCTTTCAGAGGAGGAACTTGGTTTACCCTCTTCGTTCAACCCCATTGGTGCATCACTATCCAAATCAACACCAAGCAAGGTGGCCATTATCGTCATCATTCTTGGATCTGTAAGCAAATCCTGGCTTGCAGATTGTGGATTTTGGGTCATATTGATGACTTTAGCAACCAATGTTGGATCCTTCATGAACTCAGCTGTCTTTGGGTTTGTCTTCAACTTCTCAATCAAATTTGGGTCTGAAAAGATCTTTCCAAGGCCAAAGTCTGGCGCAGAGTTTCTAGCCTGGGAAGCCTTCTGGACACTTTCAAGACCTTCCTTTGCCATCTTATTGGTTGGGTCAAGTTCTAACGTCTTCTTATACGACTTCTCAGCGTCATCCAACTGACCAAGCCCAAACTCGGCGGCGGCAACTCTTGAGTATCCCTTAGCCCAGGTCGGATTGATCTCAACAGTCTTCTGTGCATCTTCAAGCGCCTTGTCGAATTGCTTCAAAGAAGCATAAGAGGCCGAACGGTTCGAGTAGAGCACATGGTTTGGTGTCGTGGAGGCATCAATCGCCTTCGTGAACAGATCAATGGCCTTTTGGAAATCCTTAGCGGCAAACGCAGTGTTACCTTGTGCTTTGTACTCGTCAGCAGACATTTCGTGTATAACTCTTCTCACTTGCTTTACAATCGATTGAGCCTTGTTGGAAAGTAATTGAAGATTAAAACACCTCCTTGTTCGTGTTGTGATGATGTTTCCGTTTCTATGTCGAACGCCCAACGTTTAAATATAGGGAAAAAAACACACACACCGTTCCCTGTGGAACTTTCTGGAACTTATCTGTGTCTGTGTGTATTTTCGAGATTTTCCAACACCCGTACACCACGGAAATTCATTTCGGTAGGGGAAACACACGATGAGGTAGTCTCGAGAACTTTTTTCCAGATGTGGGATGGTTTCTTTCCTCTTAACATTGAGCGGATTGTTGATTGATCGATTCTCTTTAACCCTTCTGTGATGGATCCATTCCAGGCTGCTACGTCCCAGTTCCAACAATGGTTATTGCATTGTGGGTACCGTGTATCTCCGAAAGTTGACATTGCTGATCTACGACACCTGAGTCAAGGCCGTGGGCTCGTTGCGACGGATTACATCAAACAGGGTGAAGTGCTGTTCGCTATTCCAAGAAATGTCCTGTTGAATATCGATACTGGCTCGTTAAGCTCCATTGGTGATAACAAAGAGAAGCTGTTAACCAAATATGACCACTGGGAAGGTTTGATCCTGACAATTCTCTTTGAGCTCTCCCTTGGAGAACAGAGTAAATGGGCACCTTATTTCAAGGTGTTGCCAACTGAGTTTCATAACTTGATGTTTTGGTCAGATGAAGAGTTGAAATCCTTGGAACCATCACTTGTACTCGGGCGAGTGGGCAAGTCGAAGGCTGAGGAATCGTATCATAAGCTGATTCCCTCTGCGCTTGAAGATTTGGGCATTGGTAACTTACAAGTATCTTTGCAGCTGTTCCACCAAGTTGCCAGCAGCATAATGTCCTATTCGTTTGACGTAGAACGGCCAGACTTTGATGAAGATCAGGAAGATGATGAGCAGGTGAAATATGATGGATATTTCAAGTCGTTGGTTGCACTGGCAGATACTCTAAACGCGGATACGAACCAAGTCAATGCCAATTTGTTTTATGAGCCTGATTTTTTGACCATGAAAGCAGTGAAACCAATTGCCAAAGGGGAACAGATATATAACACTTACGGTGACCATCCAAACAGTGAGCTTCTAAGAAGATACGGTTACGTGGAATATAACGGTTCCAAATACGACTTTGGTGAAGTTCCACTGGAGACTATCCACGAAACGGTGGTCAATCACTATAATTTGAAACCTGAATTCTTGGATCTTGTGTTTAAACTGATATCTGAGACCGATGTTGATGAGTTGGAAGAAGATATCGTACTGGATGCATTCGATTCGTATATCGATGGTGCAGTACTCCCTGAATCACAGGTCTTGATACAGGTTCTTACTGTCATTGGTGAAATTGCCTCACAAGAACATCTACAGGACCTTTCCCCAGAACTTCTGTCAAAGACCTTGAATAGAATACTGAAAAAATGTTATCAGCTCATTGAAACTGGCTCGATTACAAAGAATGCGGTGATGTTATGGGAACAGTGTATCATAAACAGGTTATCACAATATCCAAGCCATGCCTTTAGAGATTTTATAATCCCTGAGCCTTCTCAATATCTGAACAAAGTTAAGATGGGTGAATGTATATTGAAGTCTGAGGTTTGTTCTTTACAAAATTCTATCGAGGGATTCTCAAAGGAGCTGAAAATTATCAATGATGATAAATTGATAAGAAACATCCTAAAGAGGAAGACTCAACATGACGACACAAGACATGATTTCAAGAGGCAAAAACACTAAACTCTTGTCTTAATTTGTATAACTTCATTAATTAGACATGGTTTTCATACTTTTGGGCATTCCTTCTTTGTCACTTAACACTTTTAGGTACAGTTGAGATTGAGCAGGTTTTGGTGCCATGTCCGTAGTGGCCATAGTCTTGAAAGTATCGTCACTCGTAGCAACTGCCAAAAGATTTACTTCATCTCTGTAATTGAAATCTAACGACACAACGCTTTGATCGAACTTGGAATATTGTCGAAGTCTTTTCTTTGCAACGTGATCCCATAAACAAACATGACAATCTGAACCAGCGGTGAACAAAGTATTATACCTGCTGTGAAATGTCAATGCATTCACGGGTGAGGCCAAGTCTGCGTCTTCTGCAACGATCCGATGGCATTTGAAAGCGTACTTCTTCGCCTGCACTTCTGGAGACGGGTCGAAGTATTCAATAGCAACACGTCCTTCTATCGAACTCTGTGCATAACCATGGCCATTAGGCATACATCTTAGATCACGGGTTTGGTATCTCAGTCCGCTTTCCCGTATTTGGAACGCTTTTTCCATGTTCCTTACATCATACACATGTACTATTCTCTGTGACATGGCCACAACAACATAATTCTGGGTTGTATCCATTGCAAAGACCTTTCCAGGCAAAGCAACGGTGTGTATCGAAGAGTTCGACCTTTGATCCCAGTAGTGCACTGTTTTATCCCACGAACCGGAAACGAGAACGTTTTCGTCCACTGATCGAATGGACTGTATCCCTAAACTGTGTTGTTTCCAGGACGGTACCGTCATGGCCCTGCAATTCTCGATATCCATCTCTTGGATCTGGCCTGAAGAACTGCCTAAGAATGCCCTACGGCCTCTCTTATCCCAGCAAACCGCGGTGATGGGCTTAGACACGTTGATCCCAACAATCGGCCACGTCGACTGCTCCAGCGAGGACAGCCTCGTATCGAATATCTTAGCAGACCCGTCCCATCCACCAACCAAGAGATGCGAACTGGCTGGAGAGAACGTTATACTGGAGACGATGTCCTGCGGTGCGTCTGCCAGCTGGACTTTGGACGGATTGTCAGTATATGTGATCCTGAGAGCATTCCCAGCACGTCACCCATGCTACCGCTACAGCACTTATACTCACTGAGAGAGCTCATTGATCCTGAAAGCTGGTGCAACGGGTGGTTTGAAGGAGATGTGCTGTGTTTGTTTACGTGAAACCCTTTTGTTTACATTTCTTATGTAAGTGCTTATGTAAGTGCTTACATAATCAAACCCAGCACCGAGTTGCACCGACAACGGGCAAAAACAAAAACATTGCGGGTGTCGCAGCGTGCGTGCTTGCTTTTCAGATTTGTATGGAGGACACAACCATACTTTGCACTGCTTCAACGGGACATTGCGAGCTTTATCCACACAGCTGGTTCGGAAGAGACGATTGGCTACAAAGTAGGCAGTGTGACGGAAAAGATGGATACCTCGAATGCCAGGCATTCGACCTCGTCGTTGTCGTTTGTTCAGGACTTGACGAACCTGTTCACTGACAGCAAGGGATCAAACAGGAACGCCAGTACAGCGAGTATCTACTCGCTTGAGAAGAATGAGAAGGGCAGGACGAGACAGCAGCAGCAGCAGCAGCAGCAGGGAGAGCAGAAGCAGGGAGAGTCTGTGGAGAAGACACAGAAGGTGGACCAGCCACAGCAGCCGTCCTCGTCGTCTTCGCAGCTTACCGATATTCTTGTGGAGAAGCTGCTCTCCATGGCAATCCCACCGGCTACAGAGGTTGGTGCCGAGACACTGCAAGGAAGAATACAGGCAGGGAAGTCGAGGCCAGCTCTGAGTGTTCAGACCATGAGTAAGAACTTCATACAGATGAACTCGAGGTTATCAGCGCCTTTTGAGTTCATCGATAACGTTATAAGGTTCTTCTCGTGGGATCAACCGTCGTTGACCTTGACGGTGCTGATGCTGTACACACACGTTGTCCTGAACCCGCTGATCCTTCTGGGGGTGCCGTTCTTCTTCATGTTGATCTATGTAATGGCGCCTGCGTATGCTCTGGCCCATAAGCCTGGCTTCAACCCAAATTTGGGAAAGAACAACCCCATCGTGGCATCTGGGCCTCCTCTGATGGCTGTGGAGCCACCACAGCCGGCATCCGAGTTCTCGAAGGAGTTCATCTTGAACTTGACTGATCTTCAAAACCACATGGTGCTGTATACCATGGCTTGGGACTTCTGCGTTAAATGGATGTCGAAGTTTGCCTTCTTCAAACATGAAACCGTGTCTGCAGCATTCTTCCTTGGTCTGCTGACAATGGGAGTATCTGCATTGGCTTTTGGAGATGTAATAGTGCATTACATCCCATTTAAGCTGATTCTATTGCTCTGTGGTTGGGGATTCACCATTATATTCCACCCGTATTTCTACGATACAGTGTTCAACTGGGTTTACTCGGAAGATACCCGTTACTACTTTCTCGGGAAGACGAACAGGATAGAGGACGCCATTGATAGAAACCTCAACTATCAGGAGCCTCAAGAACAGAGGGAGGTTGAGATTTTTGAAGTGCACGAGTTCAACAAGGAGTTAAAAGAATGGCAATTGGTTTGTTACTTAGATACAGATTTCACTGCAATGACACCTGAGAGGCTCAACTTGCACGAGACTGGCACCTCATCATTTGGAGCTATGTCAAAGAACGAGATCAGACCGCCTAAGGATTGGGGATTTGTCACTTCTGACGATTGGAGAATCGACCTGTCGCCTGAACAATGGGTTAAGATGCATTGTGTCTCGTACTTTGTCCGTATTGATAACGAGACCAAATGGGTATACGACATTGCGGATGAAACAAACCAATTCCAACCGAAATTCCGCAGAAGAAGATGGACAAGAATTGTGACTCGATGTTCTACTCTTTCCCAGCATAATGAAAGCAACAACAGTACCAACAACAATGAGGAAGTTCTAACGACGAATGAATTCATCCTATAAGACGATTTAACGATTATGCAGCACATCTATTAACGAACATATCAACAAGAAAAGAAAAAAAGTATCTAACACCATACAATACATTACATCATAATTTCATAAAATCATCTAGACTCAGTAGATTCGACTTCTTTTCCTTTTCCTCTGCTTGCTTCTTACTCTCTAAAAGATTTGACAGGTTATTCCTCTTCCTCTTCTTTGCCCTCTCCTTCGCCTTATTCTGTTTAACATCTTGATTGTTCTGGTTTGGATTCCATGTGGCAACAAAGGGCTTCTTTTCCACTGGCTTAGAAACCACAGGTGGTGTTGGCTTCAACAGTTCAAACGACATGGTTTTGTTGCACGTGAAGCACGATATCCGCAGGTTTCGATCTCGAGGTTTCTTCACCTTCTCTTCAGCTGTTGGCTTCCTACTCTTCTTCGCCTTCTTTGAATACACGACCCTCATGCTCATGTTTATGCCAGCTATCAACACACAACCACAGTGACTGCAAAACTTTACCCCTTCACTAATAACTGGTGGTAACAACAGTCCCCCATGACTGCATGTTTTCATGAACTTCCTCGTATACATCGCACCAACCGATGGTATGTTCGGCACAGCATGGGTTACATCATAGAGATGCTTGATGTTCTTTGTATATGTATCCATCCTGCTGTGACTACGGCTTTTGTCTGTTCTTTTTTTTACTTCGATGTTGATGATTTGCTCATCTCCTACGTTGCCTAAGTTTCTGTTCCAATTGTTTTTTTTTTCACGCCTACATGGAAAAGAAGCATAGATCATAATCATTTGTGCGTAAGTTTGTAAATCATTAGGTTGAAAAGTCCAAAGAGCTCTTGATCCTTTATGTTCTCCTTTATAGGGTTATCATCAAGGTTTAACTGGTGAATATCTTTGTAGCTTTGGAAAAACTTCACCAACTCTTCGAATGTCCCATCAATTGCGTTTCCCCTAAGGTTGAACACTTGAATATGTGAAAATAGTGTTTTAATTCTCGGAAGATCATCCATGGACAAGCATCCTTCAATTATTCCGAGTTCTAAGAGATGCTTGTTGATGATGAAGCCTGGGTCTAGTAATCTCCTCAAGGACTTTTCCCCTTGGATCGTAAGCGATTCAAGATGTGGGAAGTTTCCTGAAACTACCGTAGAGCTAGATATGGTCAAGAGGCGTAAGTTTGACATCTTTGTTCGACATTCAAGTTTTGTCAACTTATCACAGCCCATTAGCTCTAATCTCTTCAAATTCGGTAACGGAGGTGCTATTTGAAGCTCACTAAGGTTATGAATGTCTGACAATTTCAAGCATCTCAGTTGGTTCAAATTAACATTTGTCAATGCCGTTATTTTATTCCTTGAGAGATCACAGGTTATCAAATCATGGAAATCGTACAGGGATAGATCGATGCTTCCCCTGATGCTGTTATTCGAAACGTCCAAATATTGAACAACTGGAAGATTTGCCAACACTTTGATCTTGTTACCGTTCAAAATAAGCTTCCGAAGGTTTGTGAGAGATTGAAACTGGTGAATGTTGGTGATTTCATTATTGCTGAGATCTAATGTGTGAAGATTTTGGAATTTCTCAAGATTCAGTACCTGCTCTGTAATTTTATTATTTGCCAATGACAATGACTGTAAAGTTGGAGGCAACCCATCCAAAGTTGTGATTCTATTCGAACTCAGGTCTAACTCTTTCAAGCTCGGGAGGAAAGATTCCAAACCCTTCAATGTCACAATGTTACTATTAGATAGATTCACCTTTGTCACTCTGTCCCAATCACTTCCAGCAGGTACTGCATCGTTTAAGGCTGATATTAGACGCCTTTGAGACTGTGAATACGAAACATCTAAACTGGAAACATTTGTCACATATCCGGGATCAAATGCCGATACACCTTCACTGTGATTGTGGTCACCCTCATCGTCGGATATCTCCAAATTGTATCTTCCTGGCTGTAGCTTTGGTTGGGTGGCTTTCGCCCCAGGATAAACCCATTTGCCATTCTCAAATATCATTCCCTCATCCAATGGAGTAATTAGCTTTATCTCCACCGGTTTCTTCTGTGGTGATTGCTCCAAATTCAATAACTTTGGTCTGGTTATCAGCACCGGTTTAGGCATTGGCGAGTCCTCATGCAGAATAAAAGGCCTCGTTGATGGGAACGACATTACTTTGTGGGTATGAGTACTTGGATTCGACAAGCCTCTCAGCATATCTTTATCTTCAAAACTGTAATCTGGAAGCTGATAAACGGATGGTTCAATAGAGGTATTTGACTTTGACGGTGTTTCATCGCACATGTACTCTCTCTTAATCTGCTCCCACGTCGAGTTGTTATCAATGTTAATCTCATCGTAATACTCCTTCTCTATGCTACGATCCGACTCTGGCGGTGACGGCTCAGCACAGTCCACGCTGCTAACAACCCTCTCCTGAGCCTTAGCAGACATGGCGTTCTTCACCTGAAGCCATTGGGCCTCCTCCCCATCTGAAGCACCTACTTTGTGCAACACCGTGTTATTATTATCATGGCACGTACGGTTCGTCTCGTGAAGCGTGCTCCCAATATAGGCATTCTCCTGATCAAACACTGCACCGCTCTTGAACAAGGTACCGTCCTTCATTGTCGGAAGCACCGTCGTCGTTCCTGGCGTATTCAACGACAACTCTTTGAACTTCTGCCTGAGGTCCTTCGTGGGCGAGAACTCCATCGTATCCGCTCTACACCTGTTGCCCGTTGTGCGCGTGGCTGTTGAAGGTGAAGTTTGACGAGTATTAGAAAAGTAAACAAATCCTGGCGGCTAAAAATCAAAACAAAGGGGCAAGGGAACAAAAAGGTAAACAAACCACAAATGTAAACAAACCCCTCGGAATATATCTTGAAATTCGGCAATTTCAGTTGATCACGCCCTCGGGTCTCGAATTGAGCCCCAAAACATGGCGTGCGTGCGCAAAAGCAAAAACACACACACACACACACACACGCTGAGAGTTTAAGGGAAGAAAAAAAAGTAAACAAAGGGATCGTGCAACAAAGCACACAACACAGCAACAACACCAGTGAAGAGAAGCTTTTGGCGGAAGTAAACAGACAACAGACGGCTTTTCTCTTCTTTTCTGTGTCTCAAGCTTAGCGATGAACAGGGATAATCAAGAACATGGTGGTACGCCACATCATAACATGGGAAACATGACGTACTCCAATGTCCACACCAGTGGGAGTAATGCCAACCATAGCTCTCTTGACTACGATTCATGGGTCTCAAGTATACAAGATGGGTTCTTCCAGGCGACCCCGATGACAAGCCATATCCTGCAACAGAGCACTTTCATGAATAGCGTTGGGAGTAGCGGATCCATACCCTTGGGAGGGATTAACCTACTGAATACAGCTGGTCAGCCCGGTGTTCATGATTTTAACATGGACTTGGCGTTGAATACGCCAGAGAGGCTCTACAGGGACATCATCAACGAGTCACCAGTTCTGTCGAGAACGCCCCAGATTGGGCGTACCCCGTTGAGGTCATTGAACATGAACATGAACATCAGCACCCCCAATTTTCTAAAGAACATTGAAACGACAAACTTCTTCAACAACAACTTTGGGTCGGCAACGAAAACTTTCACGCCGTTGAAGAACCAGCTGTTCGCATCCAATGAGATGTTTCAAACTCCTCGTGACACCTCAAAGGATAACTCTGGAAACATCGACTCATCTCCTACAACTATCCAGATGAACTCCTCGGCTGTCAAGGAAAGCGATGCTGTGCCAAACGTTACAAAGATCCTGCCACCATCACCGACGCCAGGGTCCATGATGGGCGGTTACAAACCGATTCCACCCAATTCAAGCATACCGAAAATGGGGTGCTTCAAAAAGATACCTACACAGGAACCGCCTAAGAAATCTTCGAAAAATCAAAAGAATTCAACGATTCAAATCATTATGACTGATGTCAATTCATTTGCCAATAATAGCAAACCTACAAGGAGTAGGAAGAAAAAATTGACAAGATCTTCAACAGCAACAAACATTGGAGGATCGGTCAAAAAGAAATCCTCTCTAAAGAGAACATTGTCCCAACCACAGGCGAAGATTGGAACAATGATTGGAAAAGATACATTGGTGAAAACTCAGACGCCCGTACAGTCGAATGTCTTTGAAAATCGTGAGGATATCCCTTCATTATTAAAACCGAAAGGTCAATGAAGCATTTGGGGGGATATATAGAAGGTGTGAGTTCATACATAATACACAGGGTGTATAAGCTTTTTGTTGGGAAAGTTCTTTCATGGGTTTAAGTGGTTTTTTCTTCTTGTTCTTTTGTCGATATTTGGTTTTGACTTAGACGTTGACATAGTTATTTGGTTTTCGTATGCGTGTTTCTTTTTTATCATATGCTTTGGACATTGGTTTTTGTTATTATTACAGTACAGTTAATATACATTAGTTGTTATATATAGTACATTGGTATTTGATAGGTTTAGATCTATTCCCCGATCCATTCCAGCACCCTCACAATGTCACCGTGGATCTCTTTGGAAGACGATCTAACATTGGAATTCTTCTCAACTTGTGAAAGGATTGAAGCCCAAATGTTGAACTTTTCCTTCGATCTGACCTGTGCCAATAATTCATCACGAAGCTGAATTGTGCTCAGGTACCTATTAGTCAATCCAGTAGTGTCATTGATAGCATCTCTCTGTTGTTTTTGCAACTTGGAGATAATCACTGCTGAAACCTCTCTAATCTTGGACTGTCTCTGTTGGTATTGGGAGTACCACAGATACAAAGTTGTAAAGATCACCAAAGATGCCAAGACTCCAGTCACGTAGTACTTGTTTTCCTCGAATCTTTCGTAGACCTCCTTCTTGAATTTACAAGAGATACTCAACTTCAATGAAGAATTCGATCTGAAAAGGACCTTTGAGGGCCCTTGTGGAATAACTGTCTCCTCTTCAGCTTCATCGGAGGAAATGTTCTCTTCGGTAGACTGGGGACTGCTAGATTCGATAATTCGTACCTAAAGCTTTTGGTTAGTATTCTTTGATCTTCATCTTTAGCTAAGAGAGAACTTGCCTTACAATAATTTCAGGTTCCTTTTCAAGGTCCTCCAAGACCTTTGACCAAATATTATCAAACTCTTCATCACTAATTGATGGTTTCTTCGAATTGTAGAAAAACTCATAAAGTTCATCATCACTGATTCCAACCTCTAAATCATCACCATCACCACACTTAACGGCGGCGTTTCTAGTTCTCAACAGGTCCAAACTCTTTGCAACGACTTCACTAATGGCATTCTCTTTCTCGTGATCTTTAACACAATAATCTGGGAAAGGGAAAACGTTGTAAAACTTGTACCACGGTTGGTTCACAATGTAGTCCTCTTTACACTTGATTGTCAACTTTGGAAGGCAAATTGCATGTTCCGGGCATTTCAAGCATTGGGGTTTGTAATCCTGAAGGAAGTCATCCAATTGTTGAAGGTGAATATTCTCAGTGTATGGGAAAGTTGGAACATCGATCTCTGAGCCACAATAGCCTATCAATATACGCTGTTCACGGTACCACAATCCACCAACAACAAGGACGCATAGCATGATGAACACCACTAGTTTTTGTAAGAAGTTGAAAATGCATCTCCATGGGATAGACAACGATAGCTTTGACTTGACCTCAACTGTCGTCTCATCCGCACCTTCCACATCGACATCTTCGTCCTTAAATAAGTCATTCACTTGCTTAACTGCTTCATTGGTTTCATTAACCACAGATTCATAAACGGATTCGATTTCGTTCTGAAGAGATTGTAATACATCTATTGAAGCTTCATCTTCATCTTCATGTTCGTCTTCAAGCTGTTCAGGATCTTCTTTCACAGCCACACTTTCTGTAGCTCCTTCTGTGACTCCTTCTGTGACTCCTTCTGTGACTCCTTCTGTTGTGTCATTCTCCTCAGCTTTAGGGGTCTTCTTGAACCACGAGGTGAGATTCTCACGTAACGACGATTGGGCCTTAGAGTATGGTATTTTAGGTGTTCTAGATGGGGTCCCTTGGATGGAGCTTGCAATCGAAATGCGAGAAGCATTGCCACTCTGTGGTGTAGCATAATCAGTATCACGCACAACAGTGGTATTGTTTTGCTTATCATCATCTGAAGAAACGTGGAAAACGTCGTCGGATTCTAGATTGTCTCCAACATTAGCACTTGCAATATAAGAGTTGTTCGCGCTGGTATCATTTGTTACCTCAATACTCTTTTCATTAGAGGTATCGAATTGAAGAGCTTCAGAACCTTTGAATTTCTCAGAGAAGGAATCGTTTTCGTCTTCAAATTTAGAAATTGTTAAGGATTTCTTCAATGGGGATTTCTCAGGTGATCTCTGTGGAGCTGGAGATGAAGAGAATGCCGTCTTCTTCAAAACTCTAGGGTTCTTTTTGGATACTTCCTTTTCCGGTGATTCGGTCGACTTGACACGTTTTTTAGGAATCACCTTTTTAAAGTCTGGAGACGATGGAATTGGCGATTGGAACACGTTATCATGAGAGAATGAAGATTCCAGCTTTGGATCGACTTTGAATGGAGAGACCCTGGTTTTCTCTATCTTCTCAGTGTCTTCCTTGATCTTGGTCGGAGATTTTTCAGAGTTGGAAGCCACATGTCTTTTAGAGTCTGAACCTGACGCGACTCTTCTTGGAGATCTATCTCTCAATCTTGGTTGTTCTCTTGACCGAGATCTCTCTCTAACCCTGGGTTCGGGAGACTCCGCTTCTAATTTCGGGATATCCTTCAAATCGCCACTGGCAATTCTCGTTGGTCTTTTAGCAGTATCACTCTGTGCAACTCTTCTTGGTGATTTCCGTGTAGCGGCTGTTCTTGTTGTTTTGGTGGCAGAAATCTTTTCTGGACCGCCAATCACCTCAACACCTTCAGAATCAGAATCAGACTCGGGTTTTGCAGCGGGTGTCTTTGATCTACCGCTTCTGGCATTGTCCTTCTTCTCAATGATTTCAATCCCGTCACCCGCGGCAACAACGCTATTCAGCTCTTTCAACTTCTGTTCTGCAAGCGGTCTGATATGTTCATTGAACAAGTCCACCAGATGCTGCTTTCTTGCGGAAGACGGGTAGGCAACGTCGTTTTGGAGAAGAATGTTCCTCAAGTCCGCCATCTTGTGTTTGGCAGGATCGAAATCTAACCAGGTTAGTAAACATCCACTTGAAGTTGTTACAAACAAGACACCTCCGACTCACCTGGCTGCAAATACACCTCTGGGTCCATCTTTTCAGATTGAGAAACGTGGAAATGTCAATAACAAAGGAAGCACCCGTGTGTGATGGAAAGACGGGTGTGAACTCGCTGGAATTGAACCTGTGTTGTTGTTGTTTGTTTGTTGTTTGTTTACATTTTTGAACAATTACAAAAACAAAAACAAACCACACCCGAACACCCGCACACCCGCACACAGGGTAACGTTTGTGGTCGCGCACATCTTCAACCCGCCCGGTAGGGCCAGCAGCAGAGCAGCTGTCGACCCCAAAATGGGCCCAATTGGCTTCGACAAAGGAGACTCATAAACAGTACGACTCCACTTCAGAGACCTCCGTTAAATTGATAGTGCTCACTTTTGAAAGTCCCTTGGAACTTGTTCTTAAGCAGCTCTTTCACTTAAACATATACACACGCACAGATATACAAAGAGAGGGAGGCGAAGCAGTGAGCTGGACAGGATGGGACACGAGGAGAAACCAGACTTCAACCCTCCAGGCGGTCATGTTGGAAAGTACCAAATCATCCGTACGCTGGGTGAAGGTTCGTTCGGTAAGGTGAAGCTGGCGTACCACCTCACCACTGGACAGAAAGTTGCTCTGAAGATCATCAACCGGAAGACTTTGGCCAAGTCCGACATGCAAGGCCGTATAGAGCGTGAGATCTCGTACTTGAGGCTGCTGAGACATCCTCATATCATCAAGCTCTACGACGTTATCAAGTCTAAGGATGAGATCATCATGGTGATCGAGTTTGCCGGGAAGGAGCTGTTCGACTACATTGTTCAAAAGGGCAAGATGGAGGAGAATGAGGCCAGAAGGTTCTTCCAGCAGATCATCAGTGCTGTCGAGTACTGCCATCGTCATAAGATTGTTCATAGAGACTTGAAGCCTGAGAATTTGTTGCTGGATGACCAACTCAACGTGAAGATTGCCGATTTTGGGCTCTCCAACTTCATGAGTGACGGTAACTTTTTGAAGACGTCGTGTGGTTCTCCAAACTACGCGGCCCCTGAGGTTATCAGTGGTAAATTGTACGCAGGCCCGGAGGTTGACGTTTGGTCGTGTGGTGTCATCCTATACGTCATGCTCTGTGGAAGATTGCCGTTTGACGATGAGTTCATCCCAGCGTTGTTCAAGAAGATCTCGAACGGTGTCTACACGATTCCAAACTACTTGAGTCCGGGTGCAAAGAACCTGCTCACCAGGATGCTCGTGGTGAACCCGTTGAACAGAATCACCATCCATGAAATCATGCAAGATGAATGGTTCCTGACCGACATTGCCGATTACCTCTTGCCTAACGATGTTCAGAAGAAATACGCTGAGATTGATGAAAACGCTGTGAATACCCTTGTCCGCACGATGGGCTACGACAGGGAGGAGATCTTGGACACGTTACGTAAGAACACCCAGAATGAGATCATGGATGGATATCTCTTGATCAAGGAGAACAAGATGTTGCTCGACGACATCAAGAAACAGCAAAACGGCCAAGACAGTGATAAGCTGGATGCCTTCTTGTCACAGTCTCCACCATCTGAGTACGAACACAGAGAGCATGAAAGCAAGAGATTGAAGGAGGAGATCACATACCAAGCGTTATCGCCTTCTTTGGGTAACAAAGACTCACAGAGTACCATTGCAATTCTGCCAACGTCTTTACCCCAGATACACAGGGCCAACATGGCGCAGTACGGCTCCGAATCGGCTGCTAAGATCAACCCTATAAGCACCAAGAAGTCCAAGACTCGCTGGCACTTTGGTATCAGATCCAGATCGTACCCACTGGACGTTATGGGCGAGATCTACAGGGCATTGAAGAACCTGGGAGCCGAGTGGACCAAGCCCAAGGAAGATGAACTTTGGACCATCCGTGTGCGTTGGAAGTACTCTCCAAACACTGTTGAAGGCGAGGACCCGGCAGCACAGATCCCAGACATGATGAGAATGATCATACAGCTCTTCCAATTGGAGCCAAACAACTACTTGGTTGATTTCAAGTTCGATGGCTGGGAAAACAGCGACGGAAGTGTCAACGCCAAATTCGACGCCAGTAAGGACGATGAAATCAGCTCCTTCAGTGCCTATCCGTTCCTACACCTTGCCACGCGACTCATCATGGAACTTGCTGTGAATTCACAAGGTGGTTAGGAGCTGTCTCGTTACGTAATGAATGCCTTTACCGTGAAATCTGTGTAGAGAACAACGGCCACTGCGACGCGTTGTGTGAAATTTTTCACTTTTCCCTGCGCACACGCGTCTTCAACAGAAAAAGACGCGTCTTTCTTTTCTCTTCGTCTCCATTCCGCACTGATATACCATCAAAACCGCCATTTACACTATTATCTCCATATTCGAATAGACACGGTATACAATGCAGTTGCTCCAATTGGACGATGACCTGTCCTACATCCACAAGCAGCTTTCAAAGTCGAGAAATATGATCATTCTAACAGGAGCTGGAATCTCGTGTTCTGCTGGCATACCTGACTTCAGGTCGGCAGATGGGCTGTACGCACGGTCTTGTGGTGATGGGCTCAAAGGAAAGGACCTGTTCGACGTGATGGTGTTCCAGCGAGGTGAGCATGTCTCGCAGTTTTGCAAGTTCATGTCTGACTTACGCACAAGGAGCCTCAATGCTGAACCAACAAGAACACATCGGTTTATACAACGCCAGCTGCGCAGTAAAAGGGCATTGAGGTGCTACACGCAGAATATAGATGGTGTTGAGCATCGTATGGGGTTGCAAACTGATACACAGCTGAAATGGAAGGAGCTAGAGTGTGTACAACTGCACGGCGACGTACACACGCTGAGGTGCACTCACTGTTCCACAGTGGTGGATTGGACCCCAGAGCTGGAAGGCAGGTTTCAACGAGGTGAACTGCCAGAGTGTCACGAGTGTTTGAACATAAAGCTCATACGTAAGCTTAGCGGGAAACGTACTGGTGGACTGGTCACCGGAGTGCTGAGGCCAAATGTTGTGCTGTATGGTGAAAACCATCCTCTCGCAGAGACCATTGCTACTGGCCTCAACAACGACATAGCCAGATCGAAGCCGGATATGCTGGTCATAATTGGTACTTCACTAAAGGTCCATGGCGTGAAGCAGCTGACACGCTTGGCTGCCAAGGCAGTGCATGCTCGCGGTGGTGTCGTCTTACTCATCAACGACACCACTTTAAAAGGTTGGGACAATGTCATTGACTATCAGGTGCTTGGTGACTGTGATAGCTTCTTTGCCCTCCACGAAGCACATTCACAAGGCTTGGTGTCTCCTCCAACAACTCCAAGCAAGAAACGTACCAAATTGATCCCAATGACTCCAACAAGGAGAAAACTGACAGACATTACAAACATATCACCAGCTCCCTCACCAAAGAAAAGACGCACTACATAGAGCAAATATTAATCAAATTATCCAACTGTAATAAAAAATCTCTAATAAATACAAAAGCTTCATCACTGTTCTGGAATATCGTCATGGAAGTACTTACCTTCCAGCGTTGGCTTGATGACACCAATTCTGATACAGAAATCACCAAAGTGTTCACCCTCTTCTCTCTCAAGAGCCCATCTCTTGAAAAGAGGCTTCAAGATGGCAAGAACTTCATCCTCCTTGATACTCTGTCTATATATCTTGTTCAAACGTTGGCCGTAGTAACCACCACCAAGCATCAAGTTGTAAGTACCGTACGCCTTACCAACAAGTGCAACTTCGGCTAACCATGGACGAGCACAACCATTTGGACAACCCGTCATTCTCATGACAATAGAATCGTGCTTCAAGCCGTACTCTTCAAGAGCCTCTTCAAGCTTGCTGATCATCACTGGAAGGTATCTCTCGGCCTCAGCCATGGCCAAACCACAAGTTGGGAAAGCAACACACGCAGCAGAAGAGAGACGCAATCCACTGAAGGCCGTGTTATCAAGCTTGTACTGAGCCATCAACTCCTTAACAGCAGGTAACTCCTCGTCAGAAACACACGAAATCAAAACGTGCTGGTTACCGGTCAATCTGAAAGAACCCTTGGAGCCCGGTCTTGATTGGAAGTATTCCGCAATCTTCTTCAAACCAGTCTTCTGAGGGAGCTCAGCACTGTCCTCAACACGACCGTTCTCAATGAAACAGGTGAAGTGGTGTTGGTTCAACTCATCCTGGGTCCAGCCAAAGTGGTCAATGTTGTCTTTGATCTCATAGGAACGCTCAGCCTCGAACTTCTTGCCCCAGAGCTCTTCAACCTTAGACTTGTAAACATCAGGACCAAGAGTATCAACAGTATATTTGAGTCTGGCGTTCTTTCTGTCCTTTCTGTTACCAAAGTCTCTCTGGACAAGCATGATCTTTTCACAGACAGTGTGGATCTCATCGTAGTATACGAAACCAAAGTGAGAACCAGTTCTTGGATAGGTCTTCTTGTTGTTGTGAGTGGAACCCATACCACCACCAACAAGCACGTTGAAACCAACACAGACATTGTCTTCAATGACAGCAATCAGACCAACGTCGGAAGACCAAACATCAACATCGTTGTAAGGTGGAACCGTGATGTTGATCTTGAATTTTCTAGGAAGATAGAGCGGACCATACAATGGTTCATTGTCAACAAGAGCGTTACCAGCAACCATGGTTTTAACCTTCTTAGGCCCTTCTTTTCTGTTCTCAAAGGTATCAGTCCAGGATGGATCATCGTCTCTCTCATCCTTTCCTTCCAACCAGATCTCGTGGTAAGCAGTGGTTTGCGGTAAGAGGTGTTCAGAGATCTTCTTGGCCACGGCTTCAACTTCGCCGTGGACCTTGGCATTACCTGGTAGAGCACTAATCATAACGTTTCTGTTAACATCACCACAGGCACCGAGAGTGTCCATCAAAGCAGCATTCATCCCTCTGATGGCATGCTTCAGGTTGTGCTTAACAACACCGTGCAACTGGTAAGTGGCTCTGGTAGTAAGCTTAATGGTTCCGTTACCAGTCTCGTTGGCAAGCTTGTCCAAAGCCAACCATTGCTCTGGAGTGGTGACACCACCTGGAAGTCTCACACGTGCCATGAAGATGTAGTATGGCTCCAAGCCAGCGGCCTTACGTGAATCTCTCAAATCACGGTCATCTTGCATGTAAATACCGTGGAACTTGGTGAGCTGTTGGTCGTGGGCAGAGATAGCACCAGTAGATTCATCAACCAAACCTTCGGCAATAGTACCTCTTAAGAAGTTAGAAGCAGCCTTGATATCTTCGTTGGTGATTGGAGGTGGTTCATCAGCAGTCTTGATATCATCAACACCCAATGCCTTCCACAATTCTGGCTCCCACAAGTTGTAGCCAGTGTTGAAACCATCAGCATCTTGGTCATCACCCAAACCGAGAGGACAAAGCTCCTTCGCATTGAGGAATGTGAGTCTGTTGAACAAATCCTTGGCTGGTTTGTTGTAGTAGTGCTTGTCTTGAGCTCTTGGCCAGTACAAAGAATCACCCAAACCGAAGACAGAAATCTTGGAGAAGGCCAAATCAAGGTCACCAGAGGCCTTGATGGCATCCCAGAAGCCCTTACCGTTTTGAGGAAACTCACCTTGACCAGAAGTTGAGGTAACGAACACAATGTTCTCCTCAGTTGGCAGATCCTCAAGAACGATGTCATCCATTGACAAGACAGTTGCCTTCAGACCTCTTTGAGTAGCACGCTTTCCTAATTTCTTAGCAACGTTCTCTGCAGAACCACCATCAGATGCAAAGTAGATGGACAATGGTGGACCAGACAAACCTTCGAGCAATTGGCTGTAAGCCTCTCTTGCTCTTCTGTCTTGTTTTTGCTTTATCAAAGAAGATTGAGATTGTTCCAAGGTTCTGGCAAACTGTGGGTTCTTTTGGGACAAAAGAGTTAACTTGTTCTCACGGTCCAAGAAGCTCTTGAGCTGCTCCTTGATGACAGTGGAGTCAAGCTTGAATGAGTCCTCATTCTCCAAAGTTGGGTTGTAACGATAAAGAGGAATGTAACCAGAGTCCACAGCTTGTTTGGTGTTCTTTAAGATGTCAAGAGGTGTATCGTTCTCGCTTGTAATTGGCAAGTAGGCAAGAACAACAGATGGACCGTCGAATTGGGAAGCCTCAATCAAAGTAGTCAACACTTGGGTGTAGGAAGAGTAGATAGCAATGGAACCAACGTATGCGTTACCGTAGTTCATGGCGTATAAACCGATATCCTTCTTTCTCTGGACTGAAAATGGCTTTTCTTCGGTCTTTGAGGAGAGAGGTTCATTATCCAAGATCAACATGTTGATATCTTGGTTAGAGCTAAGAACGTGGTGGACACCAGAGGAACCCAGATCGTAGGCCCAAGAGTCAGAACCAATCAACCAAGACGATTGAATGTTGAAAGCATCCTTCAATGACAAGATCTGTTGAGCAGCATCTGAAGAATCACCTTCCAAGATCTCAACAATAGAGCTGACAAGTGAAGCATCAGTAGTCTTACCAGCACGAGCATGTACAAGCCATTTGGTCAACTTCTCAACAAGCTCTGAAGCTCTTGGAGTAAGGAATTTGTCCAAAGAGTCTGTCACTAAGGAGATCAACTGTTGCAATTGTTCCTTCTTGTGGATGAATTTACCGAAACCAAACTCTGGGTTAGAGGTTGAAACGTTTGTACTCTGAAATTGGTTCAAGAGGTCCAAGTTTGAGCCAAAGAGGTTGTTCAAGATTGTTGTGTAACTGTCCTCCAACTTGGAGACTTTTGAAACAGCCTCAGAATCCACTGTGGATTGCTGCTGCTCTTCACCAAAGTACAAGTTTTGAATTGGGTTATCCAATGCCAAGTTTGAGAGGAGAACTTTAACCAATGAATCGAGATCACTGTTATCACCAACATAGGATGCGGTGATCTTCTTAATGCCGCTATCCACAAGCAAAGAGCCGTCTTGGAAGAACTCTAGGAGGAATGGAGAGAACTTAGATGCAGGTTTAGAGTAAGATTGTTGTACCAATGCAATGTTTTCCACTGATGAAGGAAGAGCCTTTACAATCTTGGATGTGTCCAAAGGTCTGAACACTTTGATGTCGACAACTGGCAATTGAGATTTTGAGAAATCATAGGCACTGAGGTTAACAATTGCAGTTTTGGAGCCTTTGGCACCTTGTGAATAAGTGAAAGTATCAATCTTCAACAACTCAAGGGCCTCTTCGAAGGAGGAAATCTCTGACTCCAACGGTTTGAGGTCAAGTTTTGCAACAGATGAGTCTTGCGCAATGGCTGCGTGGTCAATGAAGTGAAATACTGGTCTTCCCAAGTTCTTAACGATGACATGGGAAAGAACGAGGAACTTGGCCAAATCAGAGTTATTCTTAGAGATCAAGGTGACGAAATCCAAATCCTTAACAGCAATCACAGATTGGTAGTCTTTCAAATCGACATTAAGAACAACATCTTTGAGCTGTTGCAAGTGAGGAAGAGACTTAACCAAGACACTATCGGATGTGAAGACAGACAAAGGCTCACCTTCTTCTAACTGTTGTTGTAGCTCAACAACAGTAGCCAAAGGGTCGGTGGAGTCCAACAGCTCAAGAGTAGGAGAGGAGATTGGAGCAGCCGAGGCCCTTGTCTTCTTAGAAACGACAGACTTTCCACCAATAGCGGTGTAGAAGTCACTCAGCAGAGTCATTCTGAACTATATGGGCAATTGGTATGACTAAAACACCTTTGTTGAGATGAAGAATAGAAGGGAAAAGAAGTACAGAGCGAAGTTTTCTACAGATCTTCCAGTGCTCGTGTCCATCCGGCGCACGATGAGCTGTAGTAGTAAACCATGACGAAAACGTGAAAAATTCTCGATTGGTGTCAAGTACAATTTCTGTGTTGTATTAGTGCATGTCACGTGAAGATATGGAGAATCTGCCATGAGGCGAGTGAGTTTTGCGTAATTGTGAAAGCCAGGTGTCTTATTGGCCAGCTTTGGAAATCCTAGCCAGACTGTGGCTAGTGAAGAATTGTGGCTGATGGGGTTTGGTGGTGTGCGCGTACCGTCCTTTGTATGGGAGAATTTTTCAAAGCCCATGTTTTGCCCTGGAAAACACAGGGCTCTGGTGCTTCGGTAGGGAAAACATAGCCCATTTGTATGGGCTCGGTGTTTGAAACGGAGATTTGGAGTGGACTGTGGCTGATGGAGAGCCATCTTGCAGATTCTTATACGCCACACGCCACAATTCTGGACAGCTGCGAGTGGTTTGCGGCTGGAAGACTTCTCTCTAGTATGAAGATGTTTGGATGTCTAGGCTTGAGAGACTTGCTGCCTCTATGGTGATTATCGTGCTCGTAAGATAGGTGAATCTCTGGTTGAGTGCAGTAGCTCATGACACAAACCAATATCTGTGTTGACGACAATGGCATGTTTGTATTAGCATTAGCTGTAGACGTTTGGCAGAAAATGTACGTGAAATGTCAAGGCACTGGCAACGATTAGTAGGACTATTTTACATAACTGAAGTCATAACTGTCCTTTGTATGAGACTATAGCTCGAGACTTCTCCCCAATGAAAGCGTGTAGATATGGTTCTTCAATATCAAGCTGAGCTATAGCAAGAAATATTTACGTTCTGTTGAGTAGTATAATAGTCAATAGAAGGCATGTAACTCGGTACGCGCTGTACTCCGATGTTTCAAACGGTTTATAAATATCAACACGCAACTCAATGGCGTCGATAACAGTACTGAACGAACTGTCCGGAGAAACTAATCAAAGTATCATGGAAATTGATGTATATGCTCCACAATATGAAATAGGGCTCTTTGTTCTGTAGATGTTTTTGAAATGGATCTTGATGTTCGATATATTAGTCTGGTGTGGGGAATGATCAACCTCATACAAAGCTCTATTACTTAGTCGCGCCGAATGTTACCTTGAAGTTAAGGATTCAGAGCTGATCATATAACATCTTTTGTGTATATAAATCCTTATTCTAATTCTGTTACAGTTTAATTGATCTCCTGTTATTTTTTCTCTAGTTTAATTTCATTCCGTTTTCAAAATGTAATTTAATTTTAGAAAAATACTACTTAAAAAATCCAATCCACAGCATAGAACATTTTTGAACATGTAATAAACCACAAAGTATGTTAAATAAATGTAATATCAGCAAACAGAAACCAGTTAACCGGATTATTTCCAGAATTGACACCCTTATTGTCGAAAGAAAAGAATGTCCAATTGAAGTTTGGTCCCAGAAAATTATGCCATGTTAAATCCGGACATCACACAGGCTACTGGGTGGAGATACCTCTTGACTAATAGGTCCTTTCCTGAAGGTACATAACCAAACTATATGACAAAGTACCGGGGACTCTTCAAACTAATTGTTTTAAAACAAAGATTTGTACAAATGAAATACATCGTTCGTTGTGGCATATTTCACGCTTCGTCATCGAATTGACCTATCACTCTTCTGTATCATCATCCAGAGCCTCGGGATGGGGGATACAATCATGGTATATAGGATTTGAAGTGTACATATTCACAATGAAATACAGTTTTGACATTGAACACCAGCGACATTGGTCATTGGAGAATTATGAATCTGGTTTAACAAACTCTTAGAAGAGGTTCCACCCTTAGATAATCTCACCAGCGTGTCTAAACTGCAAATACCGCTATTGTATAGGAACGGTACCAACTGAGAACGGTATATTCAAAGAAAAGATAGTGGTCTGAAATCTACATTGGCACCGGAAGCGAAAAGCTCTGCTTACTGGGTATCGTGATGTAACCAGAACCGGGTAGCAGTCGTACAGAATTGTGGATAAGGAGACACTGGACGTTGGTGCCATACATTGCCGTCTATACATACATGTTGCCTATCAAATATGAGGAGAAAAAGAGCAATCAAATTTATTCATTCACCATCTTCCCACAAGCTCTCAACATCAAGTAGCCAAGTGATGAAAAGGGTCAAACTAGATTTCAGAAGATACACAGATGTTGTTGGTGATTACAAAGGCATCACTATCGAACGTGCGAATCAGTGGAACAATGGAACTAGAAAACGGCCAATTGACTTATTGAAGGCATTACAAAATTCAGAAGAAGTTGACAAAGAAGCCAAAAACCTTGTTCACTGGTTTAGAAATGATTTAAGAGTTCAAGATAATACTGCTCTTTGGCACATGACTGAAACCGCAAGAACTATCGGTGCTAAGCCAATAGGTCTGTACGTCATTTCAACAAAGTTCTGGAAGGATCACCTCGAAAGTGCTTATAAGATTGATCTTATATTGAGAACTCTGGAGGTGTTAAAGAATAGTCTCGCAGAGCATGGGATACCTTTGTCAGTTCTATATCTTGACGATGCCAATGATAAAACCGTGAACTTTGCCAATTGGTTTGAAGATTTGATTCAATCTAGGTTCAAAGCTGCAAATGTTTACTTCAACGTCTTGTACGAATATGACGAGATGGCAAGGGACATTGAAGTTATGAAATCTAATCTCAAGTGTCATATCTTTGATGATCAGTGTATTGTGCCACCGTTAACATTATCAACGGGGAAGGGCACACAATACTCTAAATTTACTCCTTGGTATAAAAAATGGGATGAACATCTAAAGAAGAATACAATCCAAGTTCACAAAATTACGCATAAATTTCCCAAAATTGGCAATGAACATGATGAAGATGATGATTATTCTCTGGATTATGACTTTACATTGGAATCCTTGTCACAATTTGGTGTGGAGGGTCACGTTAGTCTTCCAGCCGGGGAGAATGCTGCAAATAAATTACTAAAAGAATGGTTCAAAAAAGTAAAGAGCTATGAAAAGCTAAAAGATTATCCTTCGAAGGAGACCACTTCCAGGCTTGGTCCTTATATTTCTATTGGATCGATATCAACCAGAACAATAGTTTTCCAATCACAGAAGCTCAACAAAGGTAAGATAGTTGGTGGTGATAATGGAATAGCAACATTCATCAAGGAGGTGGCATGGAGAGATTTTTACAGGCATGTAATTGTCAATTGGCCCTTTCTGATGCTTCACACACCGTTCAATTTCAGTTCTTTGGATATAGCGTGGCATTCTGATACTTCAAGATTTGAGAAGTGGTGTCTCGGACGTACAGGATTTCCCATTATTGATGCAGCGATGCGTGAATTGTTGAACACTGGATATATGAACAACAGACTACGGATGGTTTGTGCTAGTTTCCTGTGTAAGGATCTTCTACAGGATTGGAGAATGGGTGAAAAATGGTTTCACCATCATCTTGTGGATGCAGATTTCATATCCAACAATGGTGGATGGGGTTGGTGCTCATCTACAGGGGTAGATGGCCAACCATGGTTTAGAATATTCAACGTCTACACTCAGAGTCAAAAGTTTGACCCAGAAGGTCACTTTATCAAGAAATGGGTACCCGAACTCGCTCATTTAGATTCAAAGGAAATACACAAGCCTCCACCAACCAAGGATTATCCAGAACCAATTGTTGATAGGGAAGAGTCGAGAAAGATCGCACTGGAGAGGTACAGAGATGCCTTAACTTAGATAGTGTTAGCAAGTACCAATAATTCCTTCAATAAAAGATCTTCAGGATCACTCTCTATTCTTAGAGCATCGACAACCTGTAACATCAAAGATCTCAACTCAAGTTTACTGATCTCTTGTGTCCTTTGTAGAGCATTGGTGAGGAAATTAAATGCTCTTTTTCTATGTTCTTCAGAAGGGAGGTCTTCATAATTGCCCACCAGTTGATCTGAACTCTGTTGTTGAGCCCAGCAAACCAGGGTTGCAAGATAAAGAGAGTAAGCAACATGTGGTACCCTTGAAATGATACTCTGGTTTGACAAGATTGTCTGCAACAGCAGACATGACTGCGTCAATGCATATTCTCCGTCTTTGGACTTCGCCCAAGTGATGATGAGAATTTTATTTTTTGTTGTTTCAATTGCATCAAACCTTAGCTTCCCTGGGGAATTGATCAGAACGCTTGAAAGCTCTGAATTGAGTGATTTGATCACCGTCTTAGAGTATTGAACAACCATACCAAAGTTACTGTACAGACCCATAAGCCCACAGTTTAAAAGAGTAATATTTGCCCAAAAAAGCGGCGAGGCATCATATCTGTTCAACAAGGTAGGTAGATCTTGTAACGCGGCAGCATTTGCAACGGCGATATTATGGTGAAAGTACTCACGCCAGCTGAAAAAAGCATGTTCAATTCTTGCAGCTATGGTGTTGAGAGCTTTTGCACTCTCCTTACTCTCAGTCATGAAAACGTTTCTAGTCCTCAACTCCCTCACAAGCGATAAGACACCATGCAACAAGACAAACCTTGAAAATTGAGAAAAACAATTGAGGTGATACTCCTCTTGTCCACCTGTGTATGGTTGCATCAACCGTCTTATACTCCAGAGAAAGTTTGGCCATCTACTTTCAGACTTAACATTTGGTATGAGATTACCATTTGACATAACATCCTCCTTATTAATTTGATATCGTTTTTCCAATGTGCCAGGATTGGCATAGTCTCTCCTTGCGACCAAATCACGAGGTAACATACGATATGCTGCTGCAAAATGGACAGCGTCCGGTGCCATCCAAACAGAGTCCGTGTATGGCAGTTCCAACTGAACGTCAAAGACTGAAATAGAAGAGGAAGTACCGATCAAGAAGGAGCTCTGGGTATCCAGGATATATGCAAAAAATGCAATTCTTTTCAAGCTTTCGTATCGCACCCAGTTGCTCCACTTGATGAAGTCCACATCCTGTGGGTCTAAGTACGGTTCGGTCAAGTTTACGTACAGCTCCATCTGTTTCAAAATGTTAATGATAACTGGATGATGAATGGTGAATTTGATGTGCTGTTGGGAATCACCATAGTACAAGTGGAAAATATCACTTAGAAGGGCAGATTGAACCAACTTCAACGATATTGTTGACATGTTGTACTCGGTGGTATCCAAAAGGTGATGGATGTGACCTCTCAGCGCTCTTTGAATTTCGATAGACTGTAGACGTGCGTGCTGTGGCGGTACTTGTGAAGATCCCAAACATGCCATTCCAAGTGTTATTAAAGATAGCAGGAAGTATATACCCAAGTTATACTTTTCAAAGGCATTGAGGTCCAAAGTAGGTCTATGAATAAGCGGGAAAACTGCACCAAAGAACTGCCAGTAGCTTGTGAGATAAACATTAACGTTTTCCCTTGACATTATGTGGTCGCTAAGCTTAGTTTCATTCCTGATAAAGCGCTGCAGCTTTATAAGTGTATCATCGCTGACTCCGAATTCCATTATTTGAAGTTCCTGATTAGCATGCAACGTCTTGCTGATATCTTCCCTCGGATCAAAGCTCACCTCTGATGGAGTGGCAGATCCAAATAACCACCCAAACGAGTCCTCAATCGCGTTTGCAACGTTAGAGAACCTCCCGCAGTTCATCAGGTTTTCAATAGACTCACTATCAAAGGGATCAGCATCCGATGCATGGGAGCTTTTCTCATCATCGTGTTGCAGCGGCTTCAACCGCTTTGTTGGCGGAAACAGTTGATTGGCAGAGTTCAAATCTATGTTGAACGTCTCTGTGACCCTGCTGTTATCCTTGCTCAGTAGCTCCAGTTGATGGCTCTTCGAGCGGAAGTGCTTGTCAAGAAGATCCCTACGGGCAAACGACTTCTGGCACAGGAGGCATTGGAAAGGTCGGACGTTTGAATGATTTCCCTCATGTCTCGTTAAATAGTCTCTTCTTTTAAACGCCTTCCCACAGCCCGGGAACGAACACTCGAATTTCCGGTCCACCTCGACGTCCATTTCTCAACTTCAAGCAGCGTTATTGGTCGATCTGGTGGGCTTTGTTTTGTTATTTTCTGCTTTGTTTTGTTCCGCAATTCTGCCTGCAAAGTTGTCATTGAAATTCGTAACAAAGCAAAAAAGAAGAAACAGCACAGAACTAAGACAAATTTTCGGCAGGGGACACATTTCCAAACTTAAAAGTTATTCATAGCCGCCCTGGTGGGATTTGTTGCAGGGGTCAGGTGGTGGGGTGTTTGGATGTTGTGTTGCCCCAGTCATTTTTGTCATGCCAGGCTTGCAACAGAGTACATAATCTGGCCCAGTTCTACACAGCAAAGGCACGTAAGGTGATGTAAAAGGAAAGCACTAAATGACGGGGGAATGATAGAAAGTAAACAAGGGTGGCACTTCAGTTCTATAGTTTCGATGAGAATGACAGGCTCACAAGCTCAAGGCTGGTGGAGTCACCCACGGTGCAGATCTCTTCAATTAAGCTGCCGTCGGGGGTGTAGACATCGTCAACTTTGGTACCTGGTTGGACAGTTTTATTTGGGAAGATCCTCTCCAGCAGAAACAAGCTTGTCATTGAGAACACGATGCCTACGAGGTAAGAGATTCTGTAAATGTAGGTCCAGCCTCCACGGGTTTTATCCTCACAGTCAAACACCAAGCCCGGAATGAGGAAAACGGTTCCAATGAAGAAGGATGCGATAGATCTCCAGTCGATGCCGTCCCAAAACCAGTAAATGGATTGCTTGTTATCGATGTAGAGGTCCTTTAGGAGGATTTTCCTCTTGTATGTGACAAAATATTTCAGAATGACGTTGCCCGTTTGTGCAGAGGCAAAGCAACCCCATCCAGTGCCAAAGACAATGACAGCTTTGGCGCTTGTCAGAATCTTCCAGGGCCAGATAAGGACGCCAATAGCCATGACGATGAATGTGCCTCTTCTAATGTTGATGTACTTTGGAAATAGACCGGCCATATCCATAGCAGATGACAAGGAATTGAACAAAAGGTTGATCGCAAGCTGTTGTGCAACAAACGACGCCGAGGCAAAGAAAACAGCAGCTCGTGAGGCGGAATTGAAATGATTATACTTCAAGATGGCACATAACAGTGCAATCGGATTCCATATCACTTCACCCATGAATTCTTTGGATGCAGATGTGGTTATTGCTCCCATGACGCAGGCAAATACCAGAGCCGTAGGTGCGCCAATCATCTGTGCATATATAGGACCTCTTTTTGTAGTAGAATACCGTGTGAAGTCTGACTGTCCCAGTATGCCAGTTCCAGCGCTGCCTAGCACGGAAAATATGCCCTGAACACATGCCCAACCAAGAGATCCGCTGGGGTAGTTACCGGAAGGTTGGCTAAATAACTCACCAACTCCGTGAGCATGTTGTACGGAATACCCCAGCATCCCAAAGAACGTACCGACAATGAAGAAAGTGACCGTTCTGAAGAACCAGTGCAAATTTTCAGGTTTGATGAATAGACAAGGCACCATCAGGACACAGTAAACCACCAGCCCAACCAAATTCGCAGAAGTGATGTCGTTTCTGTTGTTAAAAGTATCCCAAGTTAAAAAGGACGGACTGAGGCAACCGAGCATCACAGCAACGGCCTGTGCCCCATAGTATGCCTGGACTCCCCACCAAATGATCCCAGTAATGATCCGTAGAACAATACCAAATTTGGCACCGTAAATGCCATAAACCATACGGGCAAGAACAGGGTATCCGATATGATGATAAGCACCGATTGTTCCCATCAGCGCAGCGAACATACCGTAGATTATACCAGCGGCAAATGAACACAGGACGGACTGCTTGACGCTTAATCCGAACCCGACAAGCGAAGAACCAGTGGTATAACCTGTGATAGAGCATGCCTCGATAACCCAATACATCGCATACGCCGACGCTGTCCACGTCCGTCTATCCTTCCCAAAGGGAATCAGGTCTCTGTTCGTCAAGGGATCATTCTGGCGGCCCTCCTCCGTGGGAACCTGAAGCCTCTCGGGCCAGCTTCTGCTAGCCTTTGTCATCCCGCGCAGGTGCAAAGAAAAAGACATAGGTCAAATGTCTCTCAAGAGTGCATACAACAAGATGCACTTTCTGGAGGTTAGAGGGCTCCACCCTATGTTCTTATAAGTGCGTAGGATGGACGAGAGTATCTGTTCCAAGTGAAGAGAAGCCAAGTACCCACAGTTAATTTTTACACAGGTGTGGATTATAAGATTACTCCAACGACCCCCCTGTAGAAAAAGTAAATATCCATGACAATTTTTTTTGAGTCATTCGCTGGAAATGTTAGGTGAAAAATACAGCTTAAATTTAGAACAACAAAAGAGCTTTTATTAAATGGAAAGCTCTTTCATCAAACACTGGTAAATTAGGGACGATATTTCTCTTCAATCTCTGGTTTGGTGTTGGCTCAGAGAATTCAGCTAACGGAAATGAGCTCATAGCGTAGGAGATGGCTTTCACAAGCTGATTTTGAGCTGGTGTGCTTAATCAGGCTCTCGGACAGCAGTAGGAAAGAAGCTGCGAGCACTAAAACTACATGGAAACTGCGGCTGAAACGCTTATCTTTCGCAATATCAAGACGACCAAGAATTACTTCGGCAAGACGCCTCGATGTCGGTGCTGTCGTAATCAATGAGATATTCACAGTGTTCTGCACCAAGTGGACAGCAGGAAACTCCATAGAGTGGGCAAGTAAGGTTTGTGTGGGTTTGTTTATTCTTTTGCTGTGCTCTTGTCTGCCGTGTAAAAGAACCCATGTGTCCATTAGCCCCAGAACTGGACCCTAGGGGCACATTTGGACTTGACATCAGCCACCACGAGCACAATGTTAGTATAGGAGCCCTTGAAGGCCATTGGTGTCGTTACCTTCTGAGGAAAGGTTCCCTGGCTTTATACCCCAATATCCCAATGGTAGTTCGCCTGCTTCAGCAAATGGGAAATGATCTATTTACAGCTGCGGAAAAGCTACTCTTGTCTGTAACAAGGCTGGCTGTAGCATGTCACAGTGAATTCTATACATGCAATTGTATACTGAAGCCACACTCCGAGATCTTTTCACCTCAGAATAGGACCATCGTATCCCTGAGCTGATGAGCCCTCAGTTTGATCAAGTTCTACCCAGTCATAACCATAATACAACCTCCATTCAATTTATCCTTATACAACTCAGAATGTGTTACATTCCACGCTGAGAATAGATTACCCTCTCTTATCTGAAGAAATACGGAGCTAGAACCAATAGAGTTGTCAGATTGATTACATCGCTTCTTGTTGAGATTCTAGTCCTCCAACTCCAACGACATTCCTCCACTTTTCTTGGTGGAGAAAATTTACACACATATGAAACGAGTGTGGTGGCATCGGTATTTTGAGGAACCCTGTTGATATTGATTCATGAGAAGTTCACTAAGCAACTACTATCAAGGGGATATGTGCTGCTAAAGACCTTTGAATCTTCTCTTGTTACCTGAGGTTCTACGTCCCGTCGTTATAAGTAATACGTTAGAACAATGTCCCACAATCAGTCCACCGTCTCAGTGATCGATTTCCAGCAGTTCCATGAGGGTACCAAAGCAGGGAAACTCGCAGTGGGGAAGGAAATGGTGAAGATGATGAGAGAGGTTGGTTTCATGTATGTCATGAACCATGGAATCCCTGAAACTGATCAACGACGTATGTTTGAATGGTCAAAGAAGTTCTTTGATCTCAGCGAGTCTCAAAAGGCCAAATGCTCGCACCCTCCAGAAGGTGCCCATCACAGAGGTTGGTCACACGTTGGCAAAGAAAAGGTTGTGCAAATGGTTTTCGACAAAAAGGAGGTGGATAAGCTTCGGAAAGTCCCAGATATTAAGGAATCTTTCGACCTTGGCAATGAGAATAACAAGCAATTCTACAACATTTGGCCAGATGAAGACGACATCCCGGGGTTCAAAGAGTACTGCCAATACTATTTCAAGGTATGTGATGCAACTGGTAAGCTCTTTTTGAGAGCAATTGCATTGGGAATGGGCCTTGAAGAGGAGTTCTTCCTGCCTTATCATGACGAGTCCGACAATCAACTGAGGCTTCTTCATTACCCTTCAACGGATGAAGAGTCATTGAAAACAGGTAAAGCTGAAAGAGTTGCATCACATACAGACTTTGGGACTTTGACGATGCTTCTACAAGATGACTGCGGTGGATTACAAGTCGAGGATCCCTTCAACAAGGGTACTTATATTCCAGCTCCGCAGATCAAAAACACAATCATTGTCAACACGGGTGACTTCCTGATGAGATGGTCAAATAATCAACTCATCTCAACTCTTCATAGAGTGACAAATCCACCCGTGGATTCAGCAAATGGCATTTCTAAAGCACGCTATTCTATTCCGTTTTTCATCGGTGCAAATAAGGATAAGGTCATCGATGCATTGGAAGGCACCTATTCAGATACAAACCCCAAGAGATATCCACCAATAACAGCAGGAGAGTATTTGGCTGCTCGTCTTAATGCCACATACAGTTGATCAGATTAAGGGTGTCTTTAGAAGAGAAGACATATCTGGGTCACAGGGAGTGTCATTCGAATTGCATTGGAAACATCCCATTTATTTTAGGGCACGAATGACTAGCAGAGCAGAAGTTAGTGGGGTCTTAATGAGATGATGTGGCCCAGAAGTATAAACCAATTACCCAATCAAACAGATCTTTTGATTTCGCCGATGCCCATTTCATGGGGATACTGTAAACTCTGGTCTGTGGTTTTATTTACAGTTGTACATGCAAAGATAGTCTTGGTGGTCTTTTTGCTCGATATAACCAAACAAGTTCAAGGTCATGACACGAATAAATGGAGTAAAAGGACTTATTTCTGATATGTTTCCTTTTCAGCAAAGAGAAAGAAACAACTCATTGAGAACAAAACTTCTCACTCAACCAGCTCTCCGTCTAACTCGATGTGAGAACGAGTATCTTTTCTCAGTTGCTAAATCTCGGCATCACCAGCAGATTCAGAATTGATCATGATCAATATGCATGCACCAATTATATGGGATGTGTCACTCTCTCGAATGCGTACACCCTAGATTTAGTGACTCAACAACTCGAGGCTCAGCTGATCATGGGGTGTCATTCGAAGAACACGACGGTACTTAAACCACCTTCTTTGACATTCTCGATAAAGCCAATCTAGCATGAGTTCCATAAACAAAAGGTTCAGCCATGAAATTAGCAAGCTTTGTTTTGAAATTATTGCTCGTGATTCCTCTTGTCTTTGCACAGAGTGCTGAGATATACAATGTTGGTTTTACTACGGTTACAACCCAGCTAAACCTTGCTAGAACTCTATCACACTTGTGCTACTATCAGACGTTATCTGGAGCACTAAGAGATAGAGCTTACTCGTACATGTACACCATTAGGGGTGAGACCACAAGATCCACTGTTCTATTTGTCCCAGTTACTTACCGGCAATTCACACTCACTTGGTACTTTCGGTTTGAGGATCCTATTTACGCCACGGATCTCGTTGCTGCTTATAGTGGCTCCGACATCTCCAATCTCGCAGGTGTTGTCAACTTAGAGCAGGGTGAACTGATAGCCTCATACACAGCGACATTTCCCCAGCTTACAATCATCACATCTGTCCTGAGCTTTTGCACCTTGCAGTATGTAAGTTGGACATGGAGTACATATGATCGAAATGGCGATGTTGAATACTTGTCCTTTTATACAGGCAACATCGGGTCCTCTGCAACACAGCTGCTGGACGGCATAGTCTGTGGAGCAGTGAACTTGCTGAACTGTCGAGTGTACTCCACAAGTTTGAGCTATGCTTGCAGCGATATGTCTTCGTCAAATTGTAACCAAGCCGCAGTTCTGAGCGCTGATTTGGGTTCATCTCGTCAAACACGTACTTCTTCCCAAGTCCAAACGACATACTCAAGTCCAGAGGCAGTGAGCTCTTCAATAGAAGAAGCTTCAGGAATTCATGACCAGCTTCAACCCTACACTACCGTTATTTGGGAAGACGGTGAGAGTGTACAAACTGGTGTTGTTTCTTTCTATGTCACAACAAATAATGCTGGTGATCTTGTCACCACACAAACAACGATCTTTGATGATAGATCACCACATACATCCACCCCAATTTACTGGAATGAATCAACTTGGGAAAATGGTGTTGATTCTCCTTCTACCATGACGGAGGATCATGGAGGCCCTATAGCGATAACTGCAACCCCTGATGTTACTGGTCCAGTTGTCGCTACATTTGCTGAGGGGGATCAAACATCAACAGTTGAGGAACTTCAATCCCCATATACAAGAACTCACTTGGACAGTTTCGGCTTAGCTCACACTGAAATAGTGTCCTTTTATGCTACCACTGATGATGATGGTTCACTCGTTACAACGTCTACTACTTTTGAAATGGATATCATTCCCGCTCCTTTCACGACGACTTTAGCAGCAGAGATGGGATATCAAACTGCCGTGGTTTCATTTTATGCAACCACTGATGAAGACGGAATTCTAGTTACTGAGACTACTACATCTACGATTAACAGTATACCAACACCACTAACAACGCTATATGAAAATCAAAATGGCGATGATCTCTTTGGGATCGTCTCCCATTATGCTACCACTGATGAGTACGGTGAGCTAATAACTACATCCACAACATCATCACTTAATGGTCTCCCAGCACCTTTCACTACTGTTTTCCTTGGTGGTGAGGGAGATTTACAAAGTGGTGTTGTATCGTTTTACGTGACAACAGAAAGCAACGGTGACCTGGTGACCTCCGATACAACAAAAATCCTTGAGAAGATCCCAACACCATACACGACAACATTTGCTGATCACGAAGGCCTGGCACAGTACGGTGTTGTTTCTTATTACGCAACGACTGACGATGATGGCAATTTCGTTACTTCAGTGACGACCTCAATCGTGGAAGGCATTCAGAGTCCGATATCTGTGATCTTTACAGATGAAAATGATGATATTCACTCTGGTGTTGTGTCCTTCTTTGTGACTACGGATGATGCTGGACTGTTGCACACGACATCTACAACCTTGGTGGCACAAGGAGTCCCAACTCCGTATACAACAACTTACGCTAACGAGCAAGAACAGGCCCTGGTGGGTATTGTATCATTCTTTGCTACTACGGATGAAGCTGGTAATTTGATAACCACCTCAACAACTTCTTTGTTGGATGGGATTCCGACTCCATATACCACGACATACTATGACGATGACACAGCTCAAACTGGAATCGTCAATTTTTATGTAACGACTGATGATTATGGCAGCTTAGTAACAGAAACGTCAACTTTGGATGTTCTTGGTATACCTGCTGCCTATGCTACTACATTCACTGATGCTAACAATGAAATACAATCCGGTACAGTGTCATTTTATGCTACAACAGATACTGGTGGAAACCTTGTGACGACATCAACAACTCATATTGTGACTGCAACTACCTCTCCTTACACTACAACTTTTACTGATAATGATGACGATGTCCAATCTGGAATTGTGTATTTCTTTGCTACAACCAATGATGAAGGTGATCTGGTAACTGATTCAACAACATCGCTGTTGGATGGCATTCCTGATCCTTACACTACTAATGCGGAAGGTACTTTGGGTGCAGAAGTTGTTTGGTTCTATGCAACAACCGATGAAAATGGTGAATTGATCACAATGTCTACAACTTCACAGGCTCATGGACCTCCAGGACCAATAACCGACACTGTTTTTGGAGAAGAAGGAGAGATCAAAACAAGGGTTGCATCATTCTTCGTTACACTCGATGATGCTGGAAGTTTGATCACAACTTCAACAATTTCAGAACTCGATACTCTTCCTACTCCCTTCACAACTACGTTTGCTGATGATTTTGGGATTGCTCAAACTGGAATCGTTTCATTTTATGTGACAACTGACGAGAATGGTGATCTGTTGACAACTTCTACCCTGGAAGCACTGCTAAATCCCCCATCGCCTTATACAACCACTTTTGTTAACGATAATGAAGTTATTCAGACAGGTATTGTTACATTCTTTGCGTCGACAGATGACCAGGGAGCCCTTACAACATATACAAGCACTGACGTTATATCAGATATCCCAGATCCTTACACAACTAGATATTTTGATGAGCTCAACGATGCTGCAATTGGTGTTGTGTCATTTTACCCAACCACTGATGCAAATGGGAATCTCATCACAACTTCGACAACTTTGATACCAACACCCTTTTCAACCACTTTTGCAGATTCCAATGGGATAGCTCACACTGGGATTGTATCATTCTTCGCAACGACTGATTCATCTGGTGAGTTGGTAACAACTTCAACCACTCAAATTATTGAAGGGGTTCCAAGCCCGCACACAACAACCTATATGGAATCCGATGGGGAGCTCAATACAGGTATTGTCTCTTTCTTTGCAACTACCGATGGAAGTGGATTGTTTTTAACGACAGAGGTTACGCTGAATGCAAGGTATGTCAGCTTTCTAATTCACACGACAGATGAAATACTAACAATATTCGAAAGCATGGATCATACATTTGACTACTCAAATGAAGGGGAACTGATTTCTATAACTCCATTTACAACTCTCGCTCCCGGGGGAGGCTTTGCCACCTTATCAGCTTCGTCCATTCAAACCACAACAACTGATGCAAACATACAAACTGGTGTTGAATCGTTTAATATTACCAGCGTTGATAGCAGTTCTACATCATCTGTTCTTCCTGGTATTGCTCCACCTGTTACTTTCACATCTACTGATTCCACAGGGAACACATTTATCCAAGTTGTTACGCATTATGCAACAACTGATGAGGATGGCGATCTTGTGACTACATCAACCACTGATACCATTGAAGATCTTCCTACTCCCTTCACAACAACAGGATCCGGAGAAGACAGTGTTGTTTCGTTCTATGTTACCACTAACGATGATGGTAAACTAATCACATCATCAACCTTCCATCCTTTGCCTATTCAAAGCCAGATTGAAACAAATATTATGGGTGATGATGATTCTGCTGCAGTTATTTCGTTCTTTGTCACTACTGATAGTGACGGAGCTCTAGTCACCACCTCAACGACATCTGCGCTGGATGAGGTTCCAGCACCTTTGACCACCTATGTTGAAGACGGTATAAGTGAAGAACTTGGGGTCATATCATTCTTCAGAACAACTGACGTTAATGGTGAACTGGTTGAAACCGAAACAACACTAGCTCCTGAGGGTGTTCCTGAAGCATTTTCCATGACATTTGTCGATGATGATGGTTATCTCAGATCAGGAATTGTTTCGTTTTATGCCACGACGGATAGTATTGGTAATCTTGTTACCACTACCACAACTTCACTGCAGTCTGCTATGCCAACGCCATTCACAACAGTTTACCTCAACGATCAAAATGCTCTTCAGACAGCTCTAGTGTCCTTCTATGCAACAACAGACGATGAGCACAATCTAGTGACTTCATCAACAACTTATATCTACAAGAATCTCCCTCCTCCATTCACAACAACGTTTACGAACGAAAAAACTGAGATAGAATCCGGTGTTGTTTCCTTCTTTGCCACAACTGACGATGATGGTGTATTTATTACGTCTTCCATCACTGAAATGCTGGATCACCTTCCAACTCAGTTCGTAACCACTTATGTGGATGAAGAAGGCATCCTACAAACAGGTAAAGTCGGCTTTTTGGTTACTACAGGAAATGATAGTGAACTACTCACTACTTCTTGGACTTCGTCAGTTAATGAAATACCAGCCCCACATACCACCATTGATGATGATACGCAGTTGGCTGTTGTTTCGTTTTATGGAACAACAGATGTGGATGGCGAATTTGTTACTACATCTACTACTCTACCAGTTTTAGGAGTGCCGTCCCCATTCACCACAACTCTCATAACTAATGAATCGATACAAACAGCAGTGGTGTCGTTGTATGCTACGACGAATGAAGTTGGAAACTTTGTCACCGACTCAACCGTCTCTGTGTTGGCCAATGCTGCTGTCCGTGAGCAGTTTACCACGACTGTAACCGAAGATGAAAGTACTAGGGAGGGCATTGTGTGGAACTATCTCACAACTGATACAAACGGCACATTGCTAACGACCTCAACTACAAACTTTCTTATTGCAGTCCCATCGCCTTTCACTACCACATTTGTGGAAAGTGAACAAATTCAGACAGGTGTTGTTTCTTTCTTTGCTACAACTGATGGGGATGGAAGTTTAGTAACGTTGCCGACAACTGAGTTGCTTGATGGTATCCCGAGAGCTTTCACTACTACGCAGATCGGTGATGGAGTTTCAGTTGGTGTTGTAACCTTTTACATGACAACTGATGACAATGGTGATTTGTTGACAACATCTTCAACCTCTTCTTTAGATGGGGTTCCAAAGCCATTCACAACTACCTATGTCGATAGTGAAGACTACCTCTTCACTGCTATTGTCTCCCTCTATGCGACAACAAATAGTGAAGGTGAACTCATTACCACGGTGTCAACTTCAACAATCACTGAGTCCACTGAGTTGCTTACGACAACAGTAGTGGATGACAATGTTACCATGACAGGTGTCTTTTCATTATATGCAACGACTGATAACGAAGGAAGACTAATCACAACTTCAAGCTTACATTTCCTAGATCAAATTGCGGTTCCGATAACAACAACGTATGTGGATGAGGAAGATATCCTTCGTACAGAGATCATTTCCTTTTATGCGACGACAGACCAATATGGCGACCTGGTGACGACCTCCACCACTTCGCTGGCTGGAATTCCTACACCTTTCACCACTGTGTATACAGTTGACGGGAATGTTGGGATGGGAGTTATCTCATTCCACGTAACAACCGACGACGAAGGATCTCTCTTGACAACCTCCACTACTGAAGCACTTGTTGTCACTCCATTCACTACTACATTTACTGATCCTGAAGGGCTAGCAACTGGTCTTGTTTCCTTCAGGGAGGACACTGATGAAGATGGGAATGTTTTAGCTTATGCTTCTACCTCCATCATTGGTTTAAACTCATCGAATGGCGTAACAACTACAGATGACGGGATGCCACTGCCATATGGTACCACTGTTATTGACGATCAAGGAGAAACCAATAGTGGTTCTGTCATCTTCTATGCTACCACTGATGCAGCTGGTTCATTCCTCACCACTTCTTCAACTGTATTGCACAGTTCACAATCGTCCACCCCGGTTCTTGAGACTATCACAATAATTCTTGAAGACGCCAATGCATCTGAAGACAGCAATACATCAGAAAATGGAACCATTTCTTCCACAGAAAATGGATTCTCAATGACGTTCGCTGAAACTGGCCCAACAGAAACAGTATCAGCTACCTTCATTCAAGGATATTATATTGGCGAACAGCCCAGCTGGTCTATTAATATTGATGGAAGTTATGGGCCATGGAGCTCAGTTGAAGTAAGCGGGTCCAACGGAGGATCTCAATATAATATAACAGCAGCTGAATGGAGTATTGATGGGGTCAATGTTATTGGCTCGATATTCATTGGCGAGAACTCTTATTCTGCAGAATTTTTCGGTATGATTGATGAATCATCAGATCTTGTTCTCTCAGTATTTTCACAAGCTACCGGGGATGCTCCGTATAACGCTACAGTCCACATTGCAATCACAAATGTCAATGATAATGGGGAGACTGCTATACTGGAATTTGATGAAGAAATAGCCCTCACAGAAGATTCTCCAGTATTGGGGGACGCACAGGAGTCTATCCTTTCAGTCACAGACGATTTCAGTACTATTCCTGACCCAACCACAACTCTGTTTTCTGATCCACAAGGCATTACAGCCGATGATGGTGAGGCACCCACGTCAATGGCAAGTTCTATTATGACTGAAACAAATGGTGAAATTTATTTCACCAGTGGTTTCAACGAAGTATCATCTATTTCAGAGAGTTTGGAAACGGGTTCACAGCTCTCAATGACAGATGACGAACAAGAAGCAGAATCTACTGCATCTGATGATAGTTCTACCACTTTATCACCCATTAACGAGGGTTATATCGCTGGTTATTACTTGGATGGTCAACCACATTGGAGTGTCCTTATACCAGCAGCACTTGGTCCATGGAGCTCTATTGAAATACAGGGGGAAAATCCAGGAACAAATTATTACTTGACTTCTGTGTTCTGGAGTTTGGATGGAGTTTATGTTCCTGGAGATATTTCTTTTGCCAGAAATGACTTCTCTGCCCAATTCCAAGGATCAATTGACGAACAATCAGGCCTTACACTTACTATATCAGGACAAGCGATAGGTCCTGCTCCATATTCGATTGACGTTCATATCACCATTCTACCACCGGAAGACAATGTCAATCGTCTAATGAAAAGAAATAACCTTGAATTCGATCTGTCGTCTTCCTTGAATGAAGATGCGGAATATTGGAGTGATTCTGACACATCATTAGTAAGCTATTACAATGATGACCCAGATCTCATTTCTTCTGTTCTTCAAACCGACCCATTTACTGCAACAACCCTATTTAGTGAGGACGTTACTGTATCCAATACATTCGAAACGTCGTTGGTTAACTACACTGGTTACCTCCCAAATTCGTCAGATCCAGGATACATACCATCTTTGTCGTCTTACGTTGGAGCTGCTGTATCAGATCGCTTTGCAATCCCCTCGTTTTTCTTGTTGATTATTTCTTCCATTCTTTTGTAAAATCGCAATAAAGCTTATTGAATCTTTATATAACCATGTAGGTCAGAATACTGAATCTTGAAAGCAAAACAGCTGGAACGTGATCACTTTTATTCGTGTAAACTTTGACAAGTTGTGAAATCACGTGATTGGACATTCAATGTGTCTACAAGATGATAACCAGTTACTCATAAAAGAAGGTGTTATAAACACCTCAGTCCTACAATAAAGCTCTTCTTGTGAAACACAAATCGAAGTACCTTTCTAGCTGCTGTCGTCATTTATCTTTAATATGACTACTAAAACTGTGGAGTTCTATTCATTCTCCTTTTTAAACGCCGTAAATTAAAGATACTGCATGAATTAAAGAATCTGATCCATATCATATACCTCTAACATGCAGAACAACATTGATGTGGTCTATTAAACAGTATCGGTCAAAATTTAGCATTCTTTGTACCAAAAGATAGTCGAACTCATTCACTCATGGAATTCTTCAAGTGAGAACACAATGCAAAAAAACAGTAGTTTATGAACACTTAAACTTTCGCACAACTCCCATATATGACGATCAGCAGATGCAGAAGTGACTACAACTACGAAATCTAGTTGCCAATGATGCTTTGCGTTGATTTGGCAGGTCTCAAGCCACAACAAATGAAGGTGAAAGGTGGAAAAGAAAGTGAAACCACCAGTTTAGCCCTATATCTATACATCTTTAAGTACATGAAAACTCTCATGAAAATTTTTGTGTGGCTTCTAAAAGCGTGCCATACAATAGTGTGACTTAAAACACGTTGATAGAGGAGATTTCCTATTATGTTGAAGTTCATTGCACTGTTTATATCATATTACACAAATCTGCTTTGTCTAAAAACGCAACCACTTGTGGTACCTTTCCAACGTCTCTGTTCGTGGTGAAACCAAGGTGAACGTTCATCGCTGAAAAAATTTGACTCCGGAGATAGGAACGTGGAGCCGCACAAAAAATAAGATGTACAAGTAAAAGCATTGGGAGCCTGACGCTTCTTCATGCAGAGTACATTTGATCTTAAACCCATTGCTAGAGGTAGGGAAATTTTTGCCTCAATAGACGCCACAGTTTAGTGTATCTACGCGTGATGAGCTTTCCGAGTATATAACGAGGTCGATGCTCTTTATCTAAGGCAAAGGATGGATAGCATAGTTCTTGACATCCAAAGCAAACAATATGTCTAAAGAGGTTGACTCGCTCCATACTTTGGAGAAGAGTTCATTTGACAAGCCATTGAATGGAGACAATGATGCTGCTGGTTCACTTTCTAAGCAATATAAAGTTATTTCTTCAAGAGATGCTGATGTCACACTCAAATTCCAGGAGGAATGGGATTCACAGGTACCAGAGATTACTCCAGAACAAGAGGCCAAACTCTCGAGAAAGGTGTCTTGGTACATTGTTACATTCACTGCCACTGTGAACCTCATGCTTTACATGGACAAGGCAACTTTGTCATATGCAGCCATCTTGGGACTCTTTGAGGACACAAATCTCACAACAGGAGAATACAATAACGCCAACACTCTATTTTATGTTGGCTTTATCCTTGGACAGATACCAGGTGTGTACCTTCTGCAAAAACTCCCCGTGGGTCGTTATCTTACGGGCTTGACAGTATCGTGGACTTTAATCATCTTTCTAAGTTGTACCATGCACAATTTCCAAGGTGTTTACGCTGTTAGATTTTTCCTAGGCCTTGTCGAAGCAGTTGTCGTTCCAATCTTAAACAATACCATGGGTCAATTTCTCACATCGAAGGAAAAGGCTGCTGCTGCACCATTATTCTACTCCACTTGTCTTGGTGTGACAATTCCAGCTGGTTTCATCGCCTACGGTGTAATATACGCCGAGAATACGATATCTGGTTGGAAGATTTTTATGATTATTATTGGTGGACTCACTTTCATTATGGGTATCTTTATCTTCTTTTTCTATCCTGACAACCCAACAAATGTTAAGGGTTTCTCGATCGAAGAGAAGATCTGGATCATTCGTAGAGTACAGAAGTCTACAGGATCATCCATCGAGCAGAAATATTTCAAGAAGTACCAGGCTGTAGAGGCATTGAAGGACCCAATAACATGGCTTTTTTTCGGCTACATATTCTTTTCTCAGTTGGCTAACAATTTGCCGTATCAACAGAATCTTTTGTTTGAAGAGATGGGCGGTATTTCAAATTTGGATTCGACCTTGGTTTCAGTTGCATCTGGTGGGTTCGCAGTTGTGTGCTGTATCCTCTCTTGGGCTTTCATGTGGAAATTTCCAAACACCTCTGCATTTTCCGCGATCTTCTGGACCATCCCATCATTTGTTGGTTCAATACTCGCTGTTGCTCTCCCATGGGACAATAAGATCGGTATTCTTGCCGCTCTCTGTCTCGCTTCTCCGGTGTTTGGTATCCCTTACATCATTATGTTCTCATGGAATTCAGCAACAGCTTCTGGCTACACAAAGAAGATGGTTCGTAATGCTACGATAATGATAGCCATGGGTATTTCCAACCTGATATCTCCGCAGCTATGGAGATCCAACGACTCTCCACGTTACAAGAACGCATGGATCGTTCAGATTGTTTTGTCATTTAGTGCTGCTCCATTTTTATGCTTTGTCATTTGGTGGATATTGAAAAAACGTAACACTGAGCGTTTGGCAGAAATGGATAACAGTGAAAAGGTTGGTGTCATCAAAGACGAAGATAAAGAAGTTGTCGTGAATCTGGCTACATTGGATTTGACAGACTTGGAGAACAAGACCTTTTTGTATCCACTTTGAGAATCTGTTTTAGTATAGTGGGGTAGATTTGAAGCGAGTCAGTTGTTTAATATGGTTTAATATGTCCTCACAACTACAACAACTGCAGCCCAACTATTACCGCTGTTTATATACATTCAACATGTCGCAGGAAATATAACATCCGTGTTGAATACAAACATATAACGAAAGCATGCCTTACTTATTGTGCGTGTAATTTTTGAACGAATCAGAATCTTCCTCTGCAAATTCAGGATCCGAAACCTCGATTACGCCATTTTCAGAAGCCCTAATTCTGTTGAGCTCTTCATTTCTCTTGACAGCTTTCTTGTAAACAAAGATGACGTAACTTATCGAAGAAAAAAATGAGACACCGACAAATAAAATGGACATCTTGTAACCCCATTTGAAGTTTGGAGCTTGGTTAGCAGGCCAAAGATAAAGCGTGAGCCATGCATTATTGGCATAGACCAAGACAACAGCCGCACCAGTCGCAATGGCTCTCTTTTCAGGCGAAAGAGCATACACCTCTGCTAGAAGGGAAATCAGTAAGGAAGTAACACCATCTGAGATAGGAATCATGAAAAAGGCAGCATACTTGATCCCATTATTCGATGGCCAAATTGCAAGAACTATATTTGAGAAGAAGTCAATGAGAAGTTGAATTCCAAGGACGTATCCAGGACTTTGTGTAAGGTCAGAAACCTTTGCCCAAAAAATCACACTCACCATTGAGATGGCGTTGCCACCAATGGGAATAAGATTAACTTGCTCAACACTCCAAACACGACTTCCATCTTCATGCGCCATACTCTTTAACCACAAGTTGAAATAAGAAAACGCTGCACACCAAGCCTTTGGACAATATGCAGCCAAAAATAGCCAAAGTCTCCAATCCAAAAACACTTCATAGAACTCTTTAAATCTGAATCTTCTGGTTGTTTCTCTTCCTACCCTTTGCATTCTCTCGACAGCAATTTCAACGTCGGACTCGTTCATCCAAATCTTAGAACCTCCATTTTGCGGAGTATCTGGAATGAAGAAATAACCAGTAAGGCCAACTGCTATGGTCATCAAGCCATTGATGATAAAAAGCCACTCAAACCCTTCAAGTCCATGGACTCCGTTCAGTGTTTTGTAGATAGCTGATTGGAGAAAGCCCGAAAACATGTTACCTGCGTAGTAAGAGGCTTGGAATATACCGATCCTAGTAGCGAGCTCTTCCTTTGTATAATAATTCATCAAGGTAATAATGATACCAGGCCAACTGGATGCCTCGAAGAAACCTATAAAGAAACGCAAAGGGTACAACCCCTGTGGAGACTTTGGAATTGAGCAGAGGGCCACCAGAACACCCCAAATGATCTCAAAAGTACTAAGCAAATAGGCTGGCTTTACCTTGTTCATGAGAATCTGTGATGGAATTAGCGATATGGAGTAACCTATCTTGAAATAGGTATCAAGCCAGTTATAATCCTTTCCTTGAAAGTTCAACGCCTCCTTCATACCAGATACATATGCGTTAGACACATTGCTTTGGTCTATAGATTTCATAAAGTAAGCAACTGTGGTCCATGTTAAGAGGAACAAGTCTACTTTTCTGACAAACTTTTTCTCTCTAGGAGACTTGTACTCAACTTTTGGAAAGACCTTTCTCCAAAATGATGGTTCATCTTTCAAAACTATCTCATCCGAGGTGACTTGTACTTGTTCAGTACGTTTTGACATTTGGTCTGCTGATTCTGAGGAGGAGACAAATTGTCGTTATTGGTTTTTGTATTGCGAGATTCATCCAATTTATAATTCCAAAGATCATCCTTCTATACCGAAGTACCAACCAAACTGTGAGTGGAAGATAGAGAAGGAAAAGTGAGAAAAAAGGAAGAGCAAAAACACATAAACAATGTCAATGACTGTTTCAGTCGAGATATCTCATCTCAAAAAAGGTAAACACGCGTATAAGCGAACAATTTGCAATGTGGACCTCAAAATTGTTCAACACTTGCATCGACACTTTTACTCCTGTTAAGCGAACGTTTGGGCACCTCCACAGTTGTAGATCAAGATTCTGTCGGACCTCCTTCTCCGTATGTGTATAGACCTCCACATTTATCAGACCAACATGGATGATGGCTTGGTAGATAAGTTCAAAACTTGCATTCAATGTTTGTGGCGTTTTAGTTATGTTCCAAACTTTTGTGTCTGTTTTCGTTTGTGCCAAGATATGCAATATCGGCAATTAACACGTTTTCAACCAAACAACCGGTGTCAATGACTCAGGTAGCGGTGCTTTTTCAGCGGACTTTCTCTCAACGGAGGATGCAAGATTTTCAATTTTGAAACCGCCCCTATACACACATTTCTCCATAGGGTCTCGAGTTCTGTCCATTTCACATTACTCATCACCTGTCTGGGTATCTTTTTCGAGAACGGATAACAGTTGCGAGGCAATATATAAACCTCTGGATCACAAAGTGAGATATCACATTCATGACAGTTGGTCATTAAGGTTTGTGGTATAATAGCTGGTACTCGAAGAACTAGTATCTGTCGGTATACGATTACGGGTAATACCTGAAATGGAAATGTGTCCATATATGGTAATATGGCGTGCCATGAAAAACTCGGAGAATAGATAAAAGCTGAATAAGCTGCCGCTGATTAAATCAGTCTGCATAATATCTAAGTATCATTACAAGTATCTTCTGTAGAGTGTACGCTTATTAGGATCCAGTCCTAGTGAGACTATATGATAGATCAATATAGGTATATCTATTGTAGTGTGTTATCAGCAGCAAGTTATTCATAGGCATTTGACTCATCATTGTGCAAGTCTCTTCTTGGTACCTTACCTTTGCACGGCTAGGTAAGCTACCGAGCTTGGGAAGTTAGGAACTCAATGGTCGGAACCAGTGGCGCATGGCTGTTCTTTGAAGTTCCTCTTTCCAAAAGCCACTTTTTGATCTCCGCGTTGTGCTGAGAATTGACATCTAAGCTTCAAGCTTGTGCATGATGATCCACAATCTATCAGTGATCTGAGAGATGCACCGCTTTCGTAATTAATCGAAAACTACAAAGAAGATCAGATGTAATTTACAGTTTAGAGATTGCTCCACAGTTGGTAGATCACAAATCTACTAAATGATCTGGAACAATGTGAAGTGTCTAGGGTATCCTAGAATAGGAACTTTATGGAAATTTCTTGACTATTCTACCAGGGAAGCTTAACTACCTTGACTGTGAGAGTTTTCCAGTGAATTCCATGTCCTTAGCTATATAAGTAAGTGTTAATAGTCTGAGTCTGTCTATGCTTAGAGGTATTTAGAAAGCAACGAAGCTTACACTGCTCGTTATGTCTGCTAATAGTACTAAGTCTGATGCCTGGGCTATTACCCGGTTAAAGTTACAAGTTTCGCACATCTTAATGGTATTTCTCACATTAAAAGCTATGAAAGTGGCCTGAAAGTCTTAACATACTCTCAATCTCATGATCTCGAAAGCATGCATCTGGGGGGAAGCAGAGATCAATCCATTTATCTCCCTCAGCGGTTAACACCACCTTTGTAAACCACCACAACTTCTTCCTCAAACGATAGTGAACCACAGCTTTTTCCCCAGTCGATGGTAAGCCAGCTCAAAACACAGAATCGGGTATGTGACACCGAACCACCTTCACACCATGAGTGATAAGCTTGAAACAGCCAACTGTGAATAGATTAGTCCCTATCGTTTCTTCCCTCACTGTAGAAGAGAAGTACAGCGCTGGGGGTAAGGTCGGCATTTAGCGGCTAAACCCGATGCAAGCCTGAGAAGTGTGTACAAACCAGGGTTGGGAGAAGGGAAAATCGCTTCCGGTTTCCGACCTTCATTATGATGTTTTAAGCAGCCTGATAGAGAGATAAGCTCTCAACATCGGGTACGAGGTAATTGCTGTTCGAAGGCAGATTGTTTCTTACTGTGATAATGTGACAATACGCCATTGGAAGGGTTCTCTTCAAGAGGTTTGCGTGGAATTAAGAAGGTTCCCACGTGGTGATCTCAATGTCAACTACGTCGCCGGCCTTGGTAAGATCAACCAACAGTTCTTTACATTTATCATTAACTGTAACTCGAGGTGGAAAAGCATTGTTGCCATAAGCGACACACCGACGGGAGAATAAAGAGAATTGATGCATGTCTGCTCAAAATAACGATGCTTTGAAATTGGAGGAAGGAATGTGGGTCCGCTGGGCTCGGTGGGGAGGCGTACGAGTTCTCTCTCGACTTCCCTTAATCATCCCTTGAGTCTTATCTTTGGATGGAACACTCAGAATAATGTTATCAGGATTGATATCTTCATGGCTCGTCGTTAGTTGTACATTCCCGTTTGACTTCTCTCCATAGACCACAACTTGTTCAGGTTCCCTTATAAGATAGAGGCAACTCCCACTGAAGCACAAGATGAAGAACTAGAGAGCCCAGCAAGGATGACTGACTTTAATTTCGAAAAGCAAAACCTGTCACAAAAGGTTGTACAATCGGACTCAAGTCTTGATATTGAGACTGGAAGAGTGTCACCACAGAATGAATATGTCGAAGTTGAAGGTAATGACCCTGTTCTCGCTGAAAAGATCCATCTCATCAATGATGCTATTGATGAAATTGGATTTACATGGTACCATGCAAAGTTATTTTGTATTGCGGGCTGTGGTTACTCCATAGATTCGCAAATGGAAATGGTTCAAGTAACTGTTAGAGTCTATGTCGACTACCAAATGCTAGGTTCTGGCTTCCCAATATCGACTGAGATCTTCTATGCAGGGCTCATTGCAGGGTCTATTGTGTTTGGTATGGGATGTGACCTCATTGGTAGAAAATTGGTGTTCAATTCCTCCATTTTACTCACTTCAATTTTTGGATTTTTCACTGGAGGTACAGACAACTACCCAATGTACTGCATCTTTATGTTTCTATCGTCGATGGCTGCGGGAGGTAACTTGGCTACAGATGTCTCGGTCTTTCTAGAGTACCTTCCTTCGAAGTACCAGTGGATGAATAGTTCCATGGCGTTATTCTGGGGCATTGGACAAACCATCGCAGCTTTGATTTCTTGGGCTTTTATCCCAAGTAACTCTTGTGCTGGACCAGAATACTGTCCTTCTAGTATAAACAGAGGATGGAGGTACTGCTGGTACGTCAACTCTGCAATTTGTCTAGCTGCTGCTCTAGCTCGTCTCTTTGTTCTGAAGATGGATGAAACACCTAAGCATTTGGTTACCACAGGAAGGGATGCGGAAGCTGTGGAGGTTTTACAG